ATTTTTGTCTGCCTGTCTGTCCCTACGTGCAAATCTTTGGCATGGTTAAACCGATTATAATGAAACTTCAGAAACAGAATAGAGCATTGCCAGTAGTGATCTAAATTATATTTTATCCAAAAAATAAACTTTTTTGTGAAATCAAAAAATTGGTAAAATGTATGGTCCTTATTGCTGCATATCTTATGTTTCAACATGTACTACCCTATAACGTCTCGTGGGTGTCGTAAAAGGCGACAGAGGTAAACAAACCAGGAAATGGGCAGCAGCGTCTTTATAATAGCAACTAAAATAAATGCGGTTGCACTCGTATCCATTAATTTCGTAACACTCGCTACATAAACATTTGACTTATGATAAACGGGTTAAGAAAACCTATCACTCACAATACAACGCAATACCCACGGGTGGAAGGGGCATTGTAATACAAAAGCCAGCAGCATGTGATTAAATGATCATCCGAGTGAAGCTAAACTAAAAAAATGTCAAGTAGCAGCCTAAATACATTTCATTGTTGATGTGGTTTAGTCCTGAGGTATTTACAGCGAGATTGACACCGTGGCGCACTGACCTCCAAATATACTAGTACGCTGGACTGGATACGCCCTACAACATTGAGTTATATGTACTACGTACTAGAGAAGCCATTCTGAACATAGACTATGTTTAACTGAACTGTACTGCAATCCATACAAACTAAATATTGCGTAAATTGAAGATTTGTGAATTCCATAAAATAATTATTATTACATTTTATTTAGAAATATAATATGTTTGTTTAGATTAAATTAAGATATTTCATATTAAATTCTTATATTTATTTTATATAAATATTTTATATCAAATTAAAGTCTTCGCCCATGCGCGACTACTACTCCCGCGCATGCGCAAAGACAGAGTAGGACACAATTTTTGTTTGGAATGGCTTCTCTAGTACGTAGTACATATTACTCAATGCCCTACAAAAAGTTTGTACTCTTTTGAAGCGCTGCCCTTAAGAGTACCAGGGACTTTTGACATAATTTGCAAACGGCCGTTGGTTTGCTCAAAACGTCTAAGAGTATTTTAAAGTTTTAAACGAGAAAAAGATTGTTTTGTGTAGCCCGGTTATATTTCATGTAAGTCATATAACAATAAGTGTTTTTAATAACAGTGATAATGTAAAATTTGTTACCAGACGGTAAACGTGAACATTCCACAAGGAGATTTACAGTTTATCTATACCCATTTTACTATTTGATAATATAGGCTCTTAAAAATCTCTAATTACTAATATGTTTGACTTTAAGTTACCTATTTTTGATAAACAGTAATATTCAATAGGGTTGACGAGTCCCTTGTCGATAATACTCGACGATGTTTTTTTCTACCTATATAAGTTTACATCAACGAAGGTCGCTAACAACAGAATAACTATTATCAAATATTTATTAATTTACAGGTTTTCAACAGACTTTAAAATTGTGACTAAAAAGCATAAAACTTGTGAATTGGCGTCCGAAGCAAATTGATTATAACGTAGTTACGAACAAAACCGTAGATAGACTAACGCAGCGTAGATTTTAGTTTTATAGGTTTTATTTAGAGCTTGTGAGGCAACCTAGGTCTATGTTCAGCAGTGGACTTTATAGGCTGTACTCGATAGGACATGTGTCTAAGACATAAGTATCAATTGATATATTTATTTATTGTATGGCATTATATTAAAATGATACGTAAATAGAATGGTGGGCCTGGGAATATGTTTTTGTCGATATATTTTGTCCAGTGCCCTATCTCTATTATTAGTTCCGTGGACGCTCACTTCTGCTATCAGCGCCAAAATGGCGAAAATCAAATCGCGTCATTATGTCACCGTGTAAAGCCAGTCCTGCGTATAGCCAGCCAGTAGGTCAATGGCGCGACGCGACCTCAATTCGACAACACGTAATAAGATAAGAAAACCAGCATGTCTTTATAACTCGTAAATAAAACTAACAAACACTTACAAGGATGAAGGAATTGAAATAAAAAGTTAAGTGTAAAATAATAATGCGAATATGTTTTATTTACATTCCATTACAATCAAGACTTAAGATAGATTATAAAAAGTATGTCTATGCTAAAATTGGAAACACGTACGCGGAAACTAAGCTCGAATTAAGTAATCGAGAAATAAAAAGAACATTGATGTGTGAACCACGAGACGATTATGCATTTTACAGTGTGACGACGTAAATATACGTCTAATGAGGGCTAATAATTTCCCACTCACCAGATGTCACTAGTTGGAACTGAGGTGAAGTTATTTAAAAGTTACGATACAAATAAAAGTTTTTCGGTTTCTAATGAATAAAAAGTACAAGTATAATTAAACCTGTGTAAACAAAACTGCCTATATAAAGTAAAAGTATAAGTATAATTAAACCTGTATAAACAAAACTGCCTCAATCGTTACACCATCATTTTTGCATCTCTTTTTAATTTTTTACTTTCAGGAATATTTATAGTTTGGTTTATCCAATTCAATGTTAGTAATTTAAAATATAACTTATTTTTCAGAAAGAAACATTAACTTTTATATTGATCTAATAATTTCTATATTTCTATACTTAAAAGATCTATACTGTCTAATATTTCACCTCGTTCTAAGTGGCGCCGACCCTAGTGTCAAAAAAGTCGTGGATGCTCTCATTAGGCACATGGGTGACAGACAACGTAATTTCTTGAAAATACAAGGCATGTTGTGAATTATTTTAATCTATTGTGTGAATTATTTTCTCAATATAAATACTATTACATAATTTCAATTATAATCAACCTTATTTTATTTATAGCCTATTTTGCCTCATTTTCTTCCTTTAAGAAATGGCACTTGCACACAATCTTAACGTGGATATGAATAGAGATAATTTATACACTTCCTGTTATATCTTTGATAGGATCATGGTTCACGTAAACAAAAACATACAATTTAATTACTCCATAATATTGTAACTTTACATCTTATATTCACGAAATTTGGAGAATACTGGTGTGTCAATTGCAAAGTTACTTGTAATTACACGAGCTTATCAAAATATTTCATATACTAAATTAAATCAGTGAAATTATAAACAAGTGATATATTCAAATAGGTAAACGGAATAAAATACATTCTGTAACTTACTTAGATTAAAACTTCATAAAGTCATTTACCAGAAAAATTACTACGAAAATTCATATGAACATAATTTAAGAGGTTATCTCCAACAATTAACTTTTAAAAATTTTCATAAATATAATCATCAATTAGTTTATTCCTTCATTTATATATTCTTTCATTTTTATATCCTATGGTCATTTAATTTTTGACACAACTACGGAAGCCATCATCGCATTTCTTAAAAGTGCAGTTTTTCTTTAGCAGATTATCTGTTCCCCTTGTTTTTAAGTCAATGGTAGAGAGTATTGGAAAAAGAAGGAGAAAAGTTTTTGGATAGGGTTATATCAATATATGAAATGTATCATGTAATGATGAAACGAGTAAAATAACCCTAACTCTAAATCAGAGAATCTAACCCACATGGTGGTGGCGCAAGTAACAATAGGATGTAGGTACTTTTTATTCGTCACTAACTTTTGGAACTATTTTTCTCAATATCAAGACATTGTTATTTAGGATGTAATGATATGAAACAAACAAACAATAATGTATATTCAAATATATATTATATTACATGTCTTCACCAATCAATAACATCAATGCATATTGTTCTAGTCTAGCCTTAATACAAACTAATTACAATATAAATATTATGGATATTCCTTCCACTCATTTTTAAGTTTGTTAAAATATACATACATTTATAAGCTATAAGGTATAATAACAATAATAATTATCAGTGATCATATCCATATTATTTACATCGTAATACATTTTTGCAACGATTCGAAGTCAGCTTACAACAGAAACGATACTAGTCTCACTTCATTTCTATACAATCATTTCGTTCATAACAGAATACTACGCAATAGTGCCAAAACCGGATACTTTTCAATATTTTATTGTTTCAATAGCATTACTCTAAACGATAGGCTTGTTATAATACGTCGATATTTTGTAGAAAAAAAAATAAAATCAAGTTTTGTAAGCTTCATAACAGTTGTGATGAACCAACACGCAATATTACAAAAATATTCTATAATAGATAATGTTGAAAAAAAATCTGTTAACCGTGTAGTGGGTGCAAACCATCCACAACACCATATTAGGACAGGAGGCAGAAGCATCTGCAAACCAGCAAATACACCCCCTCACCTATGAGGCAATTTATTGGTGAGGCTTACGTTCAGCAGTGGACATTTGAAAAGCTATAAGAAATGAATGAATAAACATCAAAACAAGTACACTTGTATACAATTTCCTAAACGTATACAAAAAGTGAAAACTGTCAGTGCAAATTTTCTAGTCATGGATTCTCTCCAGAAAGAGAATCTGAATTTTTTTTTCCGCTGAAGTATCTTGCACTCCGCAAATTTTCTCAGGAAATTATTTCTGCTGGTATCGAATCTATATCTCCAGACTGTAGCGGCAATCTTGCTGTTGTAAATTAACCAAATAATCAAACGCTGCTTAAGTTTAAGATGCCGTTAAGTCTGGCGCTATCTCGGGTAACGTTTGAGTACTTGGTCTTTTGTGATATATTTCATACGTAGTAAATGTCATTATTGAAATATATATTTTATATTGTCCTATTTTGATCTGGGGCTTAGGGTACAGGGTCCCATGTTTATATAGGACTTATTATAAAAAATTAAGGTGCCAACAGTGTTTCTTGCCCTAACCTATATTGTTTGGCTAAGAGTGGTCCGAGTAACTCGCTACTTTCTGAACTCTGCCTACCACGACGAAGATAACAGACGTGACGCTATGTATATATGTTTATATGACTTTTATAAGACCTCCACCTTTTTAACGAGCCTATCGTTTAAAGCGATCAACAAGTCAAGTATAATACTATCTAGTAACCGTACAAATGCTATAGCAGCGCACGGATCTCCTTGTGAATATGGCAGAGGTAGTCCACATACGAGGAGCTGCCGTCTACGCCGCGGTCTTCAACCAGGAAGTGCCGGAGCACAGTTTCCAGTTTGTCGTGTTGACGCATCAATGTTAACTGAAACAAAATAATAATCATTTGTTTTGCTTTTTAAAAAAAAACGTTACCTCCACACAAGGATTTTTTCCTGTATCATGAAAGCAGTTTACATACATAAATTTCACAAGGACTAAACATTTAGACCCGGAACAATTATTTATAGGTCATACAAATACTTGTTCCGTGCGGTATTAGCATACGTGGTAGAGCCATGCTGCAGCTATATTAATTGTAAATATATAGTTGTAGCACGAATGGGTCGGCCCGACCGGGGAAGGACCACGCTCTCACAGAATACCAGCGTAAAATAACAGCTTAATGCTGGTGTGTTTCGTCTGGTGGGTGTAGAGAACCGGAGACCCTTTTTACTGAAAACGAGGCATTCCATCTTAGTCCTCACGGGTGAAAACGCATCTGCATTTTGATCCGCAAACGAGGATAGATGTAGATGTCTATGAGCCACAGCAACCACCTACCATCAGGTGGACTGTGTGCTAGCTTGTCATTCTTATCCTATAAAAAAACTCATTGCTATACCACTGCCCCACGGAGCCGTGATAAAAAAATTCTTGCCATCTGGTGGCGGCGTAAGGGAATCCAACACACCAGTTCGTGCCTTGGGTGTCGTAAGAGGCGACAGAGGTTAACAAATCAGATAGGCAGCAGCGTCTTCCTAACTACTAAAAATAACAAACTACGGTTGCCATCGCGCGTAGCAACAAAGGCTAATATCCCCCCATGAGGCAATCTATGGGGGAGGACTATGTTCAACAGTGGACTATAATAGGTAATTTTTGGCCGGCCAAATTTCAACTTATCCTCATATATACAGCGATCTTTTTTCATCTTAGTGACAAACGAGCAATCTAATGCTAAGTGGACTACTGCAGCCTATGCAAACCTGCAACTAACTTCAGACAAATAAGGCCAAGGATGCGTTGTCACCACTGATGAAATCTCTATAATTATTCTGCCTTTATTACTGGTCAGAACACTGATAGAAAAAAGTAAGTGGGTGGTAACAAGCTTGTAACCCAGATGGGCTCTTTAGGCAGAAAAGAAATAGACCTAGTATTAATTCATTCAGTACAGCTTATCAAAAGTTGTCAAGTCACTGTTCGCGTACCTATAGTCTTTCCCAAAGGGGGGTATTTGTCATAGTTTCCACGCTTGGCATGCGAGTTGGCAACCGCAGTTTTTATAATTTTAAGTTGTCATCAAAAAGATACCTCTGCCCATCTCCTATTTCACTTTCTTGTCGCCTCTTAGGAGACCCACGGGATGATATAGAGTAGTACTCTTACGCCGTGATTACACGGCAATATCGCGTAACTTGCATAAAAATAACCAATATTGTAAGCAGTCCAAATCGCATCCGAATAAGTGTCAGAACCATGAGACATTTGATTCGCACCCACACCCTAAATCTATTCAATAAATTAAATAAAAAAATAAACATAATTCGACGTAGTTACGCAAAAAGAATTCAACCCACAAAATGCTACTTTTGAGACAGTGAAGATTGAGTTTTGGATCGATCTTCAATAGCTACTAATAGCTTGTCGTCGACTGCATAACTGCATAAATATTATAGTAAATGTTACTATAATAGTTTTCATAAGTAGCGGCACGAAAGTCTAGCGGTGACCGTTATCGCGTATAAGTCACGCTAATTGGCTCGTGCGTATCGTTCGTCCGCGCTGATTGGCTCTCCAGTCGCATTCATGCAATTCGATTCGTACGCGTCCCCTCCACGTTTCATTTAGCGCTAGACTTACGTGCCGCGACTTGTACTATATGAAAGTATTATTTTGGCATATAAAACTCATTTTCAAAAGATTTGTTTGGATATTATTTGCGTAACAATATCAAATTATGAATCCCGTAATTAATGATGGAGTTTTTAAGTAGCAAGTAGTATAATTTAACCAAAAGCTTTGTAATTAAAAAGTTCCACATGGCAAAATGAAGTTTATGATTATTATGACAGTGATGGATTGATAATGATTACACTGGTAGAGATATCGTTAGGTATGTGTGTAATGATCCTAATGCAATAAATTAAACTTAAGCATCGATCACTAATAAAAAAAAAATAACTAGATACACAATCAGTGACAAAAAATGTCCTTACCGAATGAGCGCCCACTCGAATATTTGGGTGCACTTTTAATTTGTACGCTGTTTTTTGAATACAACTTTAGGCAATGCACTTAAGGTTTTAATTTACATTAATTTCATTTAAATGAATTAAAATTAATGTATATTTATTTCAACCATAATTACGTCAAAACAATTGGCAATAGTTTTTAAAGAACTATTGCTTGGATCGTGTATCTAGTTTTTTATTAGTGATCGATGAACTTAAAAACAGTAAAATCCGATTTCGAAGAACTAAAAGAATAAAGCAATTTTCATATAATTCAATAGCTTCTGAAGCCGGTGCTTAAACAGTATCATTTTAACTTTTTTAAGTTTAATTTTTGACCCTTTTTGAGTGGACTAAGCAATATGACAACCTCAAAGTAACAACTAGAAAGTCTAACATGTACTCCATAGTTTTCTAAGAAGTTACATTAAGAATTCAATTTTCTATATTTCCACACTTGGATTATTTTGATCAATAAAAATAAAGGGACCAACTCTCAGGTAACAGAATATATAATAAAAAACATCGGTTCACAATGGCCGTAACATACGTACAAAAACACGGTCGAATTAAATGCCTACTTTTTTATGAGTCTTCTGAAACATGAGGTAATTAATCTAGTAATAAAAAATGGAGGTATGAAAGACGCGTCACACTAGTGCTTGTTGGCAGACTTCACATGTCTCCGAAATGCAGGAGGCATTGCAGGTTTCCTCAGAAAGATTATAACATAATGTTAAAGATTATAACATAATTGGCAGCAGAAAAAGAACCAAATACTTAACATTTAAAATTAAACTTAAATAATTGTTTATTAATTCTATTACAAACTGTCTAAATGCTAAATAAATCCCTTATGTATAATCTTTTATAAAAAATGTAACTTAAGTTTTTATTAAGCACAACAAGCAGTAAATGTTAGGAAACATTTTGATATTCATGCAAAAAAACACGTTAATAGAAAATAAGCAAAAACTTCTATGCAAGTATGGATGGAACCTGCATCCGTCGACTACCTACATATTTCATCAGGTCGTCATTACACCGTGAAGGAGTCACCCTTGCCAGTATGAAGCTGCCACTCGAAAAGTTTTCATCCCACTATACACACAAGGTAAAAACGCATGCAAGTCGAACTAAATCACAACTAGATTTAGCTTTCAAAGTCCAATTTTGCCTAGCTCCCGACCAAAGCATAAAACCCCAAATCATCCCCGCCACCATCAAACATCCCCTACCCCTAACTAAATCATCTTCTGAACGAGCTTGTGGGTCGCCATGAGGTGGTCGACGTACGAAGCGCTGCCATCACTGCCCCGATCCTCCACCAGGAGTCTCCGGAACAGCGCCTCTTGCTTGTCGAACTGGTGGACCACTTGCAGCTGGGAGCGAACGCATACGCATGGATGCATGCAACAACGTGCACGGACAAACAAACAGGATATGGCAATACAAGTCGCGAATCCAGGGTAATTTAATTTCACAAATCACAAAATTAAAAAGTATAACTAAACTAAAATATACGTCCCGCAGCTGAGGACAGGCCGCCGACCATTTTTGAAAGGATTTTATGGCAAGGAAGTGTGTCACCGTGACGTCTTCGAAATATTTTTAGAATGTATTCCTTAGGAATCGATTTTCATTTATTACAGTCCGCGGATCAGCGGTAAATAGCGAAATGCAGTGTTAATGGATATAAATAAAACGATAGAGGTTTGCAGTTGTGCGCGCATCACGTAAACACGTAACGTAAACTAAAAACATAAAATACTCGACAGATTTCAATTAGGTTTTCTAAGTTTTATTTCTTAGATACTTGGCCCTTATCTAAAAGAAAGAAATATTGCGATATCTTCATTTAATATAAAGTTATTAAAGTGTAAACAAACAAATTTTTATAGGGGGTTTTTCACACGGTCTTACTTGCTATATTCTATACTTCACTTGCTCTCGCGTTACTAACCCAGATAATTTATATATTCTAGCTATAACCGGAGCAACGAATAACGTTATTCACAAAGAAATTTTGTCTTTTTGATGTTTTTTCCTTAGCACAAACGAAAACTTTGTTAATATATCAAGCAACGCGGACGAAGTGCGGGTATCAGCTAGTAAAAAATAAATTCGTTACTTTGCCAAACACTTTCGCGAATTTTTTACTAGACGCGTGTACAGTAATAGCGCCTAGCGCTATCTACTTCATTCTAAAGGTCATTATATCGAAATATTGGTTAACTTGACTCTCAAAGTGACAGTGTTATAAAAATAAATACTCCATGGCCTAAACGCGACAAAGATATGGAACGTTCTTAAGGAGTAGACTCCAGTCGCGCGTCGAAGTTGACACGCGCCATTCTTTTAAATTTCTCCGACATGCAGGTTTTATCACGATGTTTTCCGCACGTGGTAAATAAGCACTTAAAACTGTAATTAACAATTTCATTGGTGCCGGCGGTGATAGAACCGGAGTTGCTCGCGTACGGATTTTTAGTAGAAAATTATTTTATAAAAATTACAGCAATATTACACTGGATTTTCGACCTTATTGTTAAAAAGAATAATTATTACTACTAAACGATACAAAGAAATGTCTTTATTAATATCGTAATTAATATAACTTTTATATTAATTAAACTTTTTGCTAAAATAAATAATATAATTTTTATTACACCTATCCTTTATTTTCAGTTATGAATATCTAAAAACATAAAACGTAGAAATTACTGAAGTTTAAGAAAAAAAATCATGCAAACACGTACAAAGAGGTAAATCAAATATATGTAAAGTGAACATAAAATGAGTTGTCTAAAAATTCTACATTATAGTTCTGTTACTCGATAATAGAGGGCGCTAGTGGTAACTAGTGTTGCCATGTACTGTGCATTAATGGTGGTGCACAACAATAACGAAAGAAGGACCATAACCCGTGCAGCAAGAACAAAAGATTAACAAGCAAGAGAGGCAAGAAAATGGGAGTAACTTCCTTAAGTCCGTTTGAGGGGTACCAACCTTATTATCTAATTCTGCTGCCAAATAGCAGTACTGGTAATACTGTGTTTCGCTTTAAAGGGTACAGAGAGCCAACATAATTACAGGTTGTGAGGCATTCCATTTTAGTTCTCAGAGGTGACAACATCTGAAGCCCTTATTTGTTCGAAGTCGGCTGCAAGTGTCCATGGATTGCAGAAGTCATTTACCATCAGTTGGATTGTAAATATGTTTGTTATTTCAGTTTTATAAAAAAAGATTATTTGTATTATTTTTTCTCGAAAAGATTTTGCGAAAACTACTAATAGTAGTAAGTATTATAAAATATTTTGTAGCGAATAAAGTTTAAAAAGTAACTGAGAGTAAATATAATAGATGGTAGACTTTTTGTATATAGTAGAGGTTTTTAGAGAATCTACCATCTCATATCATTCAATGGGTGTCGTGAGAGGTAACAGAGGGAAACTAAAACAGAAGATGACTGAAATGAACTGCGTATTAAATAATAAAATCGCTTAGCGAGGCAACCATAATATATTTAATTGCAGCGTGGTTTGGAATAAGTGTTATAGTAGTGTCCTTTGAAAAAGTAAAATTGTAACATAAAAGTTACTAGTGTTCTTAGCATAAAGTACGTAATAAAAGCGCTTCTATTGTTTTTCAAAATAATTAAAAACCACTTAATAAAGGTGTTACTAAAGCTCTTAGACAAATGAAAATGAAAAATACGTAATAAAAGCTTTACTAATGTAATGATTCTTTATGTTTATTGTATATATTATTTACATATAAATATAATTTTTACGAATTTTATCGCGTATATTTTTAAGAATTTTATATTAGTAATTACGGTCACGGGAAGACTGCAAAGTATTCGAAACATCAAGGTTTATAAAATAAGTTAATATACGCGGTAAAATCCGTAAAAATTAGTTTCATTTAAATACTTTATTAGTAAACTTTTAACAATGTTCGACAATAATTAACAGTGTTAGTAAAATAAATAAACAACGTTCGATTACCCTCATGGCTTGGCGTCGTTTGACGCGCAGCTCGTGCAGCAGCGCGCGCAGCGCGGCGCTGGCGGGCGTGTCGAGGCGCGGCAGCTCGCACACCTGCGTGTCCACGTGCTGCGCCGACTCCACGCCGAACACGTCGCGGATGAACGCGCTCGGCGCCAGCGACCCGATCCAAAGCAACATGTGCACACCGTTTTCTGCACAGAACGCGACTTACTCAAAAAAAACGTCAATGCAACTAAAGGTGGACGCTGGAACGTTCATTAATTAACTAAATATTAAATTAACATTCAGATGGATGAATGGATGGATGGTTTTCACCATGTGAAAGAGCCACACTGCAGCCACATTATTGTTGTAACACGAATGGGTAAGCTAAACCAGAAGGACACCGCTCTCACAGTGTGAAATAACAGTCTAATGCTGTGATTCTTATAATAAGTATAGATACTCAACGACAATTTATGTTGGAAACGAGGCATTCCCTGAGTACAACAAAATTTTGATTATTTATCGCAACTAAATTTTGACAATTTATCCAAAACAAATATATGAACCACATACTATGACCCATAAACACCTACTATGAGCTCGTTTGGCACCACTACAGCCAAACTATTAATTTCCAATTGATTATGAACCATTCGACTATTCATGATCGCAATGATCTCTTAACACATTAGTTACATCAAAATTACCACCGCGTAGAGAAAAGATATCAGCCATTAGAAATTTATCCAATTTTCCATTCTCATACTTAACCAAATTTCAGATTTCAGTTTATTCGAAATACAACATTAAATTCTGAAACACCTAAATAAAAAATAATTATTTAATGTAATAAATGTGCATGTGGCAAAAGTAATCAAAATAAATGTCAGAACAATCTTACGGCTTTCAATAGATGGCGCTAAAACCATCTTGTTTACACCAGATATAAAATACACAAACGAGAAGCAGCAACAAAATGCGAAACTCTTAGTACTGAGATAATTAATCCTACTATCAAACGCAACAATTAAAACAAATTCACCCACACCGAAACGTCCATGCCTGACACTAAACTTTTGGGAAATATTAAAGGAGAGAAGAAAGGAATGATGTGACGTCACACACAATAACAACCATACTGACTGATGCCCATAACTGAGTTTTGCCACTTCAAAATTACTTAGTTTTTACCTAAAATAACTCCAGTTTTTATTTCTGACTAGCTGTTCCCCGCGACTTCGCTCGCGTGTTAGGGTTTTTATGTTTTTGCGCGGAACCCTAATACTTTTTCTAAAATAAAAGTAGCCTAAGTTACTCCTTATGAAATTAGCTATCTGCCAGTGAAAGTCCCGTCGAAATTGGTCCAGCCGTTTCGAAGATTACCCGGAACAGACAGTCAATTTTAAAAATTGTATTTTAGTTATAAGTACCGTATTTACTTTCATATGCATTTAGTAAAAAAACTTTAATTTCGACATTACAAACAGACACTTCAATTTTATTTATTTGTATACATTTATGAAAGTAGTAAACTTCTAAAACCCATTTATTTCGAAATTGTATTTAGATCATAAGAAAAAAAATACAGTAAATGGCAGTCACCGAGCAGATAGACGCCGTGGTCGGTCATCTTGTCGATGGAGGCCCGCAGCGGCGTGAGGGCGGAGGCGATGTTGCCGCTGCTGGCGCTGGCGGCCGACACCAGGCTGGCCGAGTGCACGGCCAGCAGGCGCGGGTACGTGTAGGCCAGCGCCAGCGCCACGTCGCACGACAGCGCGCGGTACATCGCGCACGACCGCTCGTCGCACGTCACGTCCGCTCCTGCTAATTAACTATTCGTTTTAGGTCTACGTCACCCGAAACACAGTATTTGAAATTAAAACTTCTTTAGAATCGTTGTGATTTGAAACGGGATCAAACGAGAAAGCGACACTAAAAAAATATATACATATATAGGATTTATCCTGAGAAAGAATGAGATAGAAGTATACAGTGTTTCCTATTATCTCGTTCTCCTTTCCTGAAGGTTTCACTTCCACCGCGTATGAATTGCACACATATTTTTTATGTGGTTGTAACACGAATGAGACTCGACCGGGGAAGGACCACGCTCTCACATAATACCAGCGTAAAGTAGCAGCTCAATGCTAGTGTGTTTCATATGGTGAGTGTAGAAACCAGACACCCTTTTTAATAGAACAAGGCATAACATCTTAGTCCTCAATCATGCCAACGCATCTACATTTTGATTCTTAATTGAGGGTAAATATAGTTGTGTAAGGGTCACAGCATCCACTTACCATCAGGTGAACTGTGTGCTCGTTTGTCGCCATTATTACATAAAACTCTTTTTCAAATCAATTTGATAGATTTAACTGACTTTTTTGACTCGAAAACAAATTCTAATTCTCAAAAGCGACAACGCTATTCTTTATTTGGCAGTTGGTTGCAGGTTATTCACCAAACTTTCTTAAGACGTCAACTAAAGTCACTCATATAAATTTTAATGAAAGTATGATACAAAAGACCACAACAAACTGCAGTAAACGGTAATAAACCATGGTTTTTGTTAAATGAAAAACAGTAGCAATGCTATTACCATTATTGATATTCCTTTTAACTACTCCCAGTAACCTTAAAATGTTAGTGTTAGGAGTGGTCCACGATAAAAGTCGAATGAAGAGTTGGAATCCACGAATTTTTGAGTTTGCGGTCAGCAGCTTGCTATTAGGCTACTGTCGCTTTAAAAATAGACCGTAGGAAACTGTAGGTGCGGTAGAGCTGGTGCACTCACCGCCGGCGATGGCGTCGGAGCGCAGCAGGCAGCTGGTGTAGAGCGGCAGCAGCTTCATGGACTCGGGCAGCACCAGCTGTCCGGCGGAGGAGGGCGAGGCGCAGTGGCGGCGGTAGGCGGCCAGGCAGCTGGTGTAGAGCTGGTGTAGAGCTGGTGCACTCACCGCCGGCGATGGCGTCGGAGCGCAGCAGGCAGCTGGTGTAGAGCGGCAGCAGCTTCATGGACTCGGGCAGCACCAGCTGTCCGGCGGAGGAGGGCGAGGCGCAGTGGCGGCGGTAGGCGGCCAGGCAGCTGGTGTAGAGCTGGTGTAGAGCTGGTGCACTCACCGCCGGCGATGGCGTCGGAGCGCAGCAGGCAGCTGGTGTAGAGCGGCAGCAGCTTCATGGACTCGGGCAGCACCAGCTGTCCGGCGGAGGAGGGCGAGGCGCAGTGGCGGCGGTAGGCGGCCAGGCAGCTGGTGTAGAGCTGGTGTAGAGCTGGTGCACTCACCGCCGGCGATGGCGTCGGAACGCAGCAGGCAGCTGGTGTAGAGCGGCAGCAGCTTCATGGACTCGGGCAGCACCAGCTGTCCGGCGGAGGAGGGCGAGGCGCAGTGGCGGCGGTAGGCGGCCAGGCAGCTGGTGTAGAGCTGGTGTAGAGCTGGTGCACTCACCGCCGGCGATGGCGTCGGAGCGCAGCAGGCAGCTGGTGTAGAGCGGCAGCAGCTTCATGGACTCGGGCAGCACCAGCTGTCCGGCGGAGGAGGGCGAGGCGCAGTGGCGGCGGTAGGCGGCCAGGCAGCTGGTGTAGAGCTGGTGCACTCACCGCCGGCGATGGCGTCGGAGCGCAGCAGGCAGCTGGTGTAGAGCGGCAGCAGCTTCATGGACTCGGGCAGCACCAGCTGTCCGGCGGAGGAGGGCGAGGCGCAGTGGCGGCGGTAGGCGGCCAGGCAGCTGGTGTAGAGCTGGTGTAGAGCTGGTGCACTCACCGCCGGCGATGGCGTCGGAACGCAGCAGGCAGCTGGTGTAGAGCGGCAGCAGCTTCATGGACTCGGGCAGCACCAGCTGTCCGGCGGAGGAGGGCGAGGCGCAGTGGCGGCGGTAGGCGGCCAGGCAGCTGGTGTAGAGCTGGTGTAGAGCTGGTGCACTCACCGCCGGCGATGGCGTCGGAGCGCAGCAGGCAGCTGGTGTAGAGCGGCAGCAGCTTCATGGACTCGGGCAGCACCAGCTGTCCGGCGGAGGAGGGCGAGGCGCAGTGGCGGCGGTAGGCGGCCAGGCAGCTGGTGTAGAGCTGGTGCACTCACCGCCGGCGATGGCGTCGGAGCGCAGCAGGCAGCTGGTGTAGAGCGGCAGCAGCTTCATGGACTCGGGCAGCACCAGCTGTCCGGCGGAGGAGGGCGAGGCGCAGTGGCGGCGGTAGGCGGCCAGGCAGCTGGTGTAGAGCTGGTGTAGAGCTGGTGCACTCACCGCCGGCGATGGCGTCGGAACGCAGCAGGCAGCTGGTGTAGAGCGGCAGCAGCTTCATGGACTCGGGCAGCACCAGCTGTCCGGCGGAGGAGGGCGAGGCGCAGTGGCGGCGGTAGGCGGCCAGGCAGCTGGTGTAGAGCTGGTGTAGAGCTGGTGCACTCACCGCCGGCGATGGCGTCGGAACGCAGCAGGCAGCTGGTGTAGAGCGGCAGCAGCTTCATGGACTCGGGCAGCACCAGCTGTCCGGCGGAGGAGGGCGAGGCGCAGTGGCGGCGGTAGGCGGCCAGGCAGCGCGCGCACCGCGCCGACAGCCCCTCGCGCACCTGCCGCGGCGCCGCCTCGCGCAGCGCCCACACCGCTGCAACCGCATCCCAATCATCATCACTATTGCCGTCTTCAACACTGAACATTGCAACGCAACACCCCAGTAACCGCGTTACCAAAACTCACGCACACTAATAGTTCATCATCATCATTACAGCCCTTCACAAGTCCACTGCTGAACATAGGCCTCCTCCCAAGGAATGCCACAAAGCACGGTCCTGAGCCACCTGCATCCATGGACTTCTTGCATGTCTTACCAAGTCGTCACTCCATCTAATGGGGGGACGCCATACACTTCCCCTGCCGGTACGAGGCTGCCACTCGAGAACCTATCTTCCCCATCGGTTGATGGTTCTTAGAGCTAATTGACCGGCTCATTGCCACTTCAGCATACTAATTCTTTGGGCTTTGTTGGTTACTCTGGTTCTACTGCGGATGTCCTCGTTTTTAAGTCTATCACGCAAAGAAACGCCAAGCATTGGCCCTTTACATAGCTCACTGACGACTTTGAGCTTCCTCATACGGCCAGCAGTGATGGACCAGGACCACGTCTGAATTCCGTAGGTCATCACTGGCAACACGCACTGGTAGAACAATCTAGTTTTGAGGTTCTGATGTATGTCTAACCAGAAGATATAACCTGACGAGAAGATGTGCCGTAATTTCCCGAACACTGCCCAGCAGAGTTGAATCCGTCGATTGACCTCTCGGTCGAAGTTGGACTTACCTAGTCGGACTATTTGCCCCAGGTAAACATACTCGTCATCAACTTCGAGCTTAGTGCTCCAAACATGATTATTGTTTTGTCCATGTTCATCTTAAGACCTATCCGTTGGGATACACTATTGAGGTCATTGAGCATAGTGCTTAGGTCCTCCAGCGATTCTGCCATAAGGACTATATCGTCGGCAAATCGAAGGTGAATGATGTTGATACAGTATCCTTTCCAGTCCAGTAGCTTAAAAACGTCTTCCAATGCAGCGGTGAAGAGTTTCGGGGATATTACGTCACCCTGTCTTACACATCTCTGCAGCTGGATAGGTTTTGTACTCTGGTTCTGTACTCGGATAGCCATCGTAGCCCTACTGTATAAACACTTCAGCACTTCGATATACCGACAGTCCACTTGCGGTGTCACCGCTGGAGGGACTGCAGCACCACCCAAATTTCGACGCAATAAAAGGCTTTCTCATAGTCCACATACGCAAAACAAAGTGGCAGATTGTACTCTTCGGTCTTCTGTACAATGGTGCTAAAGCCTTTTCGGAAATCTGCTTGTTCGGGAGGCTGGAAGTAGACGAGTCTGCGTGCGAGACGATTCGTAATGACTCTCGTAAACAGCACGTAGACGCGGCTCAGAAGGTAAATCGGTCTATAGTTCAAGAGAGCGTTGTCGCCTTTCTTGAAGAACAAGAGCACTGCACTTCTGCTCCACGCCTCCGGTGTAGTGCCACCATGGAGGACGGAATTAAAGAGCTTCTGAAGGACTTTAAGTACCGGTTATCCACTAGCTTTCAGAAGCTCTGCTGTAATTCCATCCTCGCCTGGGGCCTTGCCGTTTTTAAGGTGTTGAAGAGCCATTCTAATCTCTGACGTCCGGGATATCATCGGAATAGTGTCGGATAAGACTTGCTCTTGGATCGTTACTCACACTTGCGTGTGGCTCCAACGATGACGTGTACAGCTGCCCATAGAACCTGTCAATCTCACTCAAAATCTCAGGTGTCTCGAAAAGGATGCTGTGCTGTGCTGTGTGCGATGAACTGATCTGTCTGTTCAGTTGGCTGTATGCTATCAAATCTACTGAAGACTGCAACTTCATTTCCCGTCTAACAGCCATGAGATTAAGAGTGTGATCGGAGTTTTTGTGTTCTTCTGTGGCGGGTCTTGCAAAAATTAGCTTCGACCGCATGGACAGTTTCCACGAGCTTGTCATTCATATCGTCCACTACATTGCAATATTCTAGGCACTGAAAACGATTTTGTGACTCGAGCTGAAAGGTTTCGCGGCCTTGGATTAGAGCACAAGGGGGGACGGAGCGTTGACTTCATTAGACGCGACCTCTCCAACTTAATGTTTACGTTCAGTGTGCCTCTAACCATTCGGTGATCGCTACCAGTTTTCACTCACGCGATCACTGAGACATCACTGCACAGATGTCGTCTGGTCGTCATAATGAAGTCAATCTCATTTTTTGTCGAACCGTCGGGGCTCGACCAGTTCCACTTCCTGTGGGGCCGCTTCTGGAAGAAAGAGTCCCTCTTTCTCCATGAAGTCGGCCGCTGGCCCCTTGGGTTCCATTGCCCTATTCCGAATTTCCCTACTTTCAGCTCACCGTTCTCTCTTGTGCCTAGTTTTGCGTTGAAGTCTCCCATTAACACCGTATAGTGGATTTCAGAGGAATGCATGGCTCTAGAGAGATCCTCATACATTTCCTCCACCTCCTCATCGGGATGTGCCGAGGTTGGTACGTAAACCTGTATGACCTTCAGCGAATACCGTTTGGTGATTCTGAGTATAAGGTACGCAACCCTCATCTACACACTCCCAATCTTTACAGCGTTGTTAACGAGAGACTTGTGGACGATAAATCCGAACCTCCTTGGGACAGGTGATCGCCCTCCCGGTGATAGAACAAGTTACCGGATTCGAGGATTACCGTGTCCTCCCCCTCTTTTCGGACTTCGGATAGTCCTATAATATTCCAGCGCAACTTGTCTATCTCTTCTTCCAGCTCCAGGATCTTCTCGTCAGTCCTCAGGGTGCGAGTGTTATAAGTTGCCAGTTCGAGTCGTCGTAGGTGGCAACCAAACCTCCACCGGAGATTCTTACCACCCCCTGCCCCACCGTTACCATGGTCGCCACCTTAGCCAGGAATAGCGGGGCCGCCGGGGACTGGGGGCCATTCATTAATTTCATTGCATTGGTATATTGCCATAGTTGCCACACTTGGAGAGCGGGTTGCCAAGCGCAGTTTTTTATTGCTATTTGCTGTTATCAGATAGATGCTGCTGCCCATCTTCTGCCTGTTTCCCTCTGTCGCCTTTTACGACACCCACGGTAAGATATGGGGTAGTGAGTATTCTTACCCGCCACTACACTAATAGTTGTTGCTGAGTAATCTTAGCACATGATGTAATTTTTTTGTTTGTATTGTTATATGAAATTGTATAAATTGGAACATTTTGCAAATAAAACCTCTTTCAACGCTAGACGGCGACCTCATTACTATTGTTGAGACTCCTGGCCTCAGTGGCGGATTAAAGGAGGGGCTAGGGGGGGCTATAGCCCCGGGCCCCACCTTGGGAGGGGGCCCCGCGGTCTCAAAAATAAATTTTTAAACCTGTTCCAAAGAATTTTTTCCAAATTTTTTTAAAATGTTTTCCAAAGAAAATAAGTTAACCAAAATTATCTACGATTTTTAATTTGCCATCGGTTAACTATTTGTTGGCCAACGACGGGTGTAAATCTGTGATGAAATAACGAAATGGTGGTATTATTAGCGAATGGGTTGGGAAAAACGCTAACGCTGCAGCAGTTGGTCACGGTGGCGAACGGTTGGGGGAAATTTCTACCAGAGAATGTTAATGTTTATCGCGCAATAATTTGAGTTATTCATTCATGCCAAAGGTTGTGATTTTCTTTTTTACTTATATAATTTAAATAAATTTATATGAAAGATTATTTAATAACAATTCTAAAGAAAACAGAAGAGAAAAATTAATTCTGTTATACTATCTATTATTATTTTTTTCACTTGTTTATCGCTATAAATAACTTTGAAAATGCGGTTAAAAAGGAAACTATAAAAATATCGTATCAATGTTGTAAAGAGTACGAGGACCTCACCAGATCGCCAGTAAACGAGGCAGGGACAAAAAAGGGCTAGATAGTGTAGTGACAGAGAGATATCTCTGTGTGCCTAGTGATACCGAGAAAGTTAACTACAATTTGTATGGAATAAAATCAGGGCCAATTAGTGGCAAAAAAGTGCTCACAAAGGCAGTGGTACAGTCTCTTATTTATCTAAAACTATATACGAAGAATTTATAGAGTTAATGGCTGCAAAAGTATTAAAACGTATTATTGATGAAATACACAGTGCAAAATATTGGGGACTCGTCGTAGATTCTACCCCAGATATATCCCACATCGATCAGTTGTCAGTCATTTTCCGATACTACTTAGATGGTCACGTTTATGATCGTTTTTTTCTGCTTTTTACATATAAAAAGTCATAAAGGTAGGTCGCTTAGTAATGACGTATTAGATTTACTACAGAAGCACGGTATCGACACTAAAAATTGCAGAGCTCAGACCTATGACAACGCTTCCACTATGTCCGGTAAATATATTAGACTTCAAGCTTGTATTAGAGAAAAAAATGAATTAGCGTTTTACGTGCCTTGCGCTGGCTATTCTCTAAACTTAGTGGGAGAATGTAGTGTCGACGTATGTCTTGATGCTACAAATTTCTTCGGAATTTTACAGCGGCTATATGCATTTTTAGTGCATCAACACATCGGTGGCACATTTTAATCACTGAGAATTCTAAAATAACGAGCTTATCGAAAACGAGATGGTCATGTCGCGGAAACGCCACAAAAGTTGTAGTAAAGAGTCATAGCTCTAGAAATTTTAGCGAATGACGAAGAACAAAAACGCGAAACTCGGAAAGAAGCTGAAGCTTTATTGAAACATATGAAAAAAAACTTGAAAATGTTTTTATGGCGATTCTATGGAATATTGTTTTAAGCCGCTTTAACGCGACTAGTCAATACCTTCAAAAACTTGATACAGTTTTAATTTCTGCAAATAACATGCTACTTTCATTAGTTGATTTTGTGACAGATTTGCGAGATACATTTTTTGACGTTGAAAATCAAGCCAAACAACTAAGTAATTTTGTGGATCAAGAATATTCTGATGCAAACAAACGAAAGGTCACAAGAATGCTAACCGACAAAGACTCACAAGCTAGTAGCTTAAACCCGGCTGATAAATTCAGAGTTAACACATTTTATGTGATTATAGACAAATTAGTTGCCGAGTTGCAGAAACGGAGTGAAGCAAATGATCGCATCATTCAACTATTTTGCTTTCTCACACAATTATTATTTATAGAGACAGATGTATTAGAAGAAAAGTAGCAAATCTCGTAAAGGTTTACTCTGACGATTTAGAAAAAGATTTATCAGTTGAATTGAAACAATTTATACCATGTTTAAAACGGCAGCCTAAGGGCTTTTTTTCCAATTGTACAGGAAAAAACACAAGTGCAAGTGATGAAATCTTGTGTCCCTTAAAAGTTTTAAATTGGCTTGTAGATTTAGACATGATACAAGTTTTTCCGTATACCTATATTGCTTACAGGATACTACTTACACTTCCAATCGCAAATTACGAATCAGAAAGATCATTTTCAGTTTTGAAAAGAATAAAAAACATGTATCAATCAACGATGTCAGACGACAGACTATCATCTTTAACAAGATTAAGCATCGAAGTCGACTTATTGAGATCAATTGACTTCGATAACTTAATTCATGATTTTGCTAGAGCAAAAACAAGAAAAAAAATTTTTTATCGAATTTTAAAATAATTGTTTGTACTTCATTGTATCTATAAATAATAGTTTATAATAAATAATTTATAATAAATTAATAAATGATTTCTTTTATATTTGATAAATAGCCTTTTTCGCTGTCCTTAAGTGGGCCCCTTCTCAATTTTAGCCCCGGGCCCCATAAAGTTCAAATCCGCCCCTGCCTGGCCTCCTTCTCTCAGCGGCCAAGACACCATTAGCCGTCAGAACTTCTAATTAGTCTTGTGTAATCTGCTTGAATGACGGTGGGAGAACTCCATCACCTAACCGTGACATCCGTTGTCTGTCTCATGGTGCAGACATCCCGCACTTATCTAATTTATTTATATATATATTTATATGGTAGGGCTAGGGTATTAGGGACTGCTAGGTATAGGGAACTTAGTTAGGGTCTGTAAGGTCAAACACTCCTACCATATTCATATGCAGCCAGGTAGTTTTATTGTAGTAGAGCTATTGAATGGAAACTGGGTTAATATTTAAGCAAATAGCTACCTGACTATACAACCGTAACCCTTGACAAACGGATTGAACATCCCAGTACCAGACATGAACACTTGAAACTATTCCCCGTCAGAAGTATTTCACATATAACGTTAATGATAAGACCGCCATCAATAAATAACACTCACGGAACAAAATGGAGTGATGGATGTCATGTTGTAGTCTTATTGAAGACATAGTCCTAGCTAAACGTCCGTAATGCCGCCTATCTTAATAAAATCCTGACAGTTTTATAGACTAACTAAACTATAATATAACTTAAATCAATGTCACGTGCGCTACTACATCACAGAAATGCTCTTGAGTTACCAGTACACAACAAAACATCATTATTAGGCCGTGAAAAGTCACCCCTGGGCGCAAGCTTCTATAATTGATAGTGGCAAACGAATCTGGGATCACAGTACTTTAACACGGCTCCCCGTCTATATATATTTTACTTCTAGCGTAAACGAAATGTATAGCCATTTCGTTTACGCTTTGAACTGAACTTGCCGCCAAAAACCGCCAACTATGTGATCTGACATTTTGAGCATTAGGAACAGTTTACAAAAAGCACATCAGATAGACTTTTGGAGAAAAACTTTACATCATGAACTCCTTTCTTCTTCATCGTCAGTTCTTAAAAGTCCACTATTTTAACTTGAATATTTATTTGCTTATATTACCTGACCATTTTCTTGCTTATCAACTTGACCATTTACTTAACTATTTATGAGATTATTTACCAACTATTTATGTGATGTTTTACCTGACTGTTCACATCTTTATTTACTTGACTGTTTACGTGAACATTGACTCGACTATTTACTTGATTATATACTTAACTATTTACTTCATTATTTACTTGAGTATTAACATGATTATTTATTTATAAGCATTCACGCCTGTCACCCAGGGACTACGAAATTGCTTATTTACTTGATTATTTACTTGGATATTTACTTGCTCATTTACATTAATGTTTACTTGTCTATTTACTCGATATTTTATTTACTTGCATGGCAATTTACTTGGCTATATTTTTACTTAATAACATGACTGTTTAATTGCTTATTTACTTGACTACGCAGCTTCTTTACGACTGATTTCCTATAAATCATTGTAAATTCAATTGTAATACAAAGATTCGAGAACATTATTGCGCAAGATGATGCAATACGCAACTAGCTGTAATAACACTACCTGTTGTAAGATTTAAAACGAAGAATGACAGATCGGTTATATCCACAAGAAACAAAAATGGCCCAATAATGGATCCCTGTGGTACGCCTGTATGTACATCAGAATCTATAGAATTTACCTCATTTATCTGAACCTTTCTAAATCCTATTATTAAGACAGGATTCCAACAAACGAAACGAGCTTGTTCATTCATACCGTAATATTTTAATTTATAAGGTAATGTTGTGACATATACACAATCAAATACTTTAGACAAATCAAAGTATACTCCAATCGCATTCTTGAGTTCTCCCAAGCACTGTAAAAACGTTGCATTAAGCATGCTCCTGCATCAGTTATGGTACGCCCTTTAATAAAACCATGCTGATGACCATGGAGTTACTTATATTAAGGAAAGAAATCATATGGTTTAAATCAACTTCGCAAATACTTTAGTTAGCGCCGGTAACATAGATAGAGACCTAAAATTGCCGAGGTATTTAGAGTCACCCAGATTTAAAAAGTGAAATTACCTTACTTTTGTATCTCATCAAATCAGGAAATACTCCTTTATCAACAAGCATCAAATGTTAGCTCCTCCTGTCACTGTCCTTACAGAGGATGTCAAAGTAATACTATTTAGCATCACAAGATGACGTCCCGTCAAATTATAGTAAGTCAAATAGTCCTAATGTCGGCGTCGATGCAACAACTGAAGTACTCTCGACTTTCAATTTTTGAAAATCCCAGAGTGCCTGAAGAAAGTAATCAGTTACGGCTTCTTTTATTTTTTTCTGTATAATTTCAACACAGATTTGCAGTTTGTCATCCAGTGTCGGTTTTTCAATGCATACAAAGTTAACAAAGCTCAAAGTTTGAGAGATCTGGCATATTTGTCGCAAAGCTTAGTAACGCGTTTCTATTATTCCTATACTATTAAGTAACGCGTGAGCCGCTGATCGGAGCAGTTGTGTGTGCTATCAATGGACAAAACTGTTATGAAATTTATTTTTTACCAAATTAAACAATAATATAATTAAAGGTAGTCAAATAAAACAGTCGAATGGTGGCGGTGTAAAAAATCCATCACCACGTTTTGTGTCGACACTGGTGACTAGCGGCATCTGGTGAGCGTAAGATTATTAGCCCTCATTGTCAGAAAAACCTAATGGCTTCCAATAGACGGCGTAACTATCTCGTTTTCGGCTGCTTTAGAATATCTAACCGGCGATGGGAACTAGAGCTAATGGTGAAGTACTGTTAATGCTACAATGAGGGTATCCAGGACTTTTATTGCCACCAGGGTGGCGCCACTTTGGAATAAGGTGAAGATTACAAGACAGATTATGTAATGTAACATGCAAGGGAAGTTAGTTTGTTAAAAAAAATATAAGGATTAATGTTTCTTTATCTTATTTTAGTTATATATTATATTAATTGGATTATAAATGAATAAACCAAACTATGGATATTCCTGAAAGTAGAAAAATTAAAACAGACAAAAAAATGAGTCAAAATGAGTTTTGGCCTCTGAATTTATTTATTATTGTTGAGGATCGAAAATTATCACAAAAAAAAAGGAAATTTAATCAGATCTAGATTCTTGAATAATGTATAAAAAGCTCCTTCAACGTTTTTCAATTTAACTATTGTAGATAATCAAAACTTAAGTTTAAGAATTTTTTATCTTTTACAACATTAGTAAAGCAGATGTTGTAATAATATAAATTGTTATGTCACTTTTATATTGAAAAGCGATCTAGTGTGCAAGAAAGTGCAAGTTCTGAATTTTGAGTGTATAAAATACTCTGTGGTTTTGTATTATAGCCACGATATCGGTACTACTTCGTGAGTGAAAAAAAATCTAGATAATATCGGCGGCGGTGAGGAATGTCAGGGAGATATATCGGCGATGAATGTCGGTGAGAAATGTCGATAAAGAATGTCGGCGAGGAATGCCAGTAACGAATATGGCGAGAAATGGTCATGAGTACTGTCGGTTAGGAATGTCAATGAGCTATTATGGCGACAAATTTCGGTAAGGAATGTCGATAAGGAATGTGGGTGAGGAATATTAGTGAAGAATATTGGTGAGGAATGACAGTGAGAAATGTCGATAAGGACTGTCGGTGAGGAATGTTAGTGAAGTATATTGGTGAGGAATGTCGGTAATGATGTCGGCGAGGAATGCCAGTGACGAATATCGGCGAGAAATGTTCGTGAGGACTGACGGTTAGGAATGTCAGTGAGATATTATGGCTACAAATTTCGGTGAGGAATGTCGGTGAGGTATGCTAGTGAAGAATATTGGTGAGGAATGACAGTGAGGAATTTCGGTAATGATGTCGGCGAGGAATGCCAGTGATGAATATTGGCGAGAAATGTTCGTGAGGACTGTCGGTTAGGAATGTCAGTGAGATATTATGGCGACAAATTTCGGTGAGGAATGTCGATAAGGACTGTCGGTGAGGAATGTTAGTGAAGTATATTGGTGAGGAATGACAGTGAGGAATGTCGGTAATGATGTCGGTAATGATGTCGGCGAGGAATGCCAGTGACGAATATCGGCGAGAAATGTTCGTGAGGACTGTCGGTTAGGAATGTCAGTGATGATATATCGTTATAGTTATCGTCCAATGAAAACACGCTCTTAGTCTGGTCATAGCTATACAATGAAATAGCCACAGTTCAGCTAGATTGACAAGTTAACTAACCTTGTTTCATGAGGAAGGCGATTGTGGTATCCAACTCGGCACTTCGGTACACATCAGCCAGTTGATGGGCCACGTTCAGCGCGAGATTTATAATACGGAGCCTTCTTTGTCCACACCGTCTTGTGTAGAGCAGCGCCGCTTGGATGTAGACACCGTCCTCGCCCGTTAGTTTGTCGTCGTGTTTGATCTCCACACCGATTGCCTTGTCCGCATCTGAAATTTGTAAATAAATAAAATATATTTTAAGAGGTAGCGTTGTAAGAGAATTCATCAAGCCATTTAGTTCCGTGGCGTTAGAGGCTACTATGGGATATGCAAGAAAGATTTTATGACTTTCGATAGATGGCAGTGTAACCTAATGATTTCTTATATTTATGCGATTATATAGCGTTTAATTTTAACTTTTTCACGGTCACGGGGGTAACAGAGATGTTTGACGTCCTGATGTCACAGTTAACAAAGATTACTTTTTAACTTTTAATTGTTAATTTTTGGTTCGATATTCGTAGAACGAGCTTACAGTATCTTGAAGCCTTGTAGTAGTATGCTTCTTGATGTTTTAAATCCCAACCCCATGCATATTACTGCATGGACAGTCTTCTTTTAGATCAGATGTATTGTTAACGCTTAAAAATCTTTAAAATGATTAGGAATGACATATTTGAACATTAAGACACGTGACAGTCATGGAACTTAGTGTTAATTTCTTTCATATAGTTTTGTATAGCATTAATGATCGTAGAATGTCTTGGCTACGACCAGCGATGCCAAGCAGCGTTAAAGGTCTCCTTAGTTACTTACTCCCATGAAGCAAATACAAAGAGGAGGTGTTGTAATTAGATTTCATTATGTAACAACGTGTGCCAATTTGCGGGGTGAGGTCAGAACCTACTTAGAATCACAGTGCACAGTTGCTTATGCCGTCTCCTCTTTGTATTTGCTTCATGGTTACTCCTTACGTAGTAGTAGTGAGTCTTACTGATGGCGGCCAGCTTATGTCGATAGCATTGGACACAAAGAAGTATCCTCATTTACTTTTGAACTAGATGAGAATACAAATAAATAGTCCTAATATAATAAAAATAAAAAGTTAGCGTGAGCCTCACCGATGGCGGCCAGCTCGACATCGGTGGTGTTGGACATGAAGAAGTGTCCGAAGAAATCGGTGGCGCGCACGCCGGTGGAGGTGCGCACGCGCATCACTGCATCGTACGCCGTCGCGCGCGACACGGCGCGCCGCACGTCCCACGCCAGCCGCGCGCCGTCCGTCTCTGCCTGCACATCGCACCAACTTAACTACTATACGAGGGCGACACTCAACGTTTTTAGAACTGCCCACTTGTAAATGATATAATAAAAAAATTATTTCACATTTCGAAAATAGAACTCTTTGCCAATATTATTGTGTATGTATTTTATTAATTTGTCATTTGGTTACGATTTAACGGCAAATTGAAAATTGTCTGTCACATCAGCTTGAATTTAACGCGAGAAAATTTTTGTACAATCATTTTTTATGACTTTCGATGTCATTTAAGTCAACAAAAAAGTTATAATAGACTTGATTGGCCTTTCACGATGAAGCCCCATCTCGTGTCACTGTTTACAACTGGTTTAATGAGTTTAAACGTGGTCGCACTAATCTCACCAAAGATCTGCGTGACGGACGGACTCTTACGGCGACGACTGAAGATAACGTCAGTGTTATGCGGCGTATGATAGAGACTGACAAAAGAGTGACTTATCAACAAATTCGGATAAGCTTAGGCATCGGTATGAGTCAAGTGCACAAAATGCTCCATGAACATTTAGCGGTCAGGAAGCTTTGTACCAGTTGCTGTGTTCGACATACTTACGGGTGACGAAAGCTGGATTTATTGTTATGATCCTGAAACTAAGAGACAGTCTGCTGTTTGGGTGTTTCCTTCCGAGGAGTTGCCAACTAAAGTGAAGAGAGGTCGAAGCGTGGGAAAAAAATGGTGGCCTAGTTCTTCGGAAGGACATGTCATTACGCAACAATTGTTTTAGAGGATCGAAAAACAGTTACTGCAGAGTGGTACACCAACAATTGTTTGCCATTTGTTTTGGAATAATTTTGGGAGAAACGACCTCGCAGTAGGATCCTCCTTCACCACGATAACGCCTTGTCACACACCGCCAAGCTAACAATCGACTACTTAGCGACATCAGACGTGGAATTACTGGGTCACCCCGACCTTACGATTTTTATTTCCGAAAATAAAAGAAAAACTTCGAGGATAAACGTATTATGGACGCCGAGGAAGCAGTGGTTGCGTTTCAAAATGCTGTCGAAGATGCCCCTAAGGACGAGTGGGCAAAGTGCTTTTCTCAGTGGTTCCATCGGATGCAGCGATGTATTGATGTAAATGAACACTATTTTGAAAAGATATAATGCAACTAATAACTTGCTAGTTTATTCAGTTTTTAATTTTCTAAGAACTTTCAGTGTCGCCCTCGTATATGCTATGGACCAAGTGATTAACCAGGGCACTATTTATAATGCCCAGGCAATATGAATAATGGTAAATCAAATTGGACATGAAAAAATATCCGAAGAAATCTGTGGCGTGCACGCCCGTGGAGGTGCGCACGCGCTTTACATCCCACGTCAGATGGTGACTATCCATTTCAGTCTACACATTAAGAAAGAAACAAACGTTAATTTGACCAACTCACAATTAGTTTACCGACAAAACTGCAATATATACATTGAACTATAATGTACTATACATACTTTTGCAACTGAAGGTATTGAGGTCCTGAGTTCCAATCCCGGATCAGGTCAAAATCAGTTCACCCAAGGTCAGGTCGTTAGAAGTGTTTCACCCTCATGCCTCACATAATATGTAAAATCATTGGTCCTTCGCCTGATCATTCTTTTTCTTTATCTCTCTCTCTCTCTCTCTCTCTCTCTCTCTTCTCTCTTTCTCTCTCTCTTCTCTCTTTCTCTCTCTCTCTCTCTTCTCTCTTTCTCTCTCTCTCTCTCTCTCTCGTTACGTCGGTTTAGCATCCTATCAAAATATGAGAAGAAGGGAATAGAGAGGGCACCAATGCATGCGGAAATACTCTGGCACTATAATTCTGTCCTGCGTGATATGCGTGACAGAAATTCGATTATATTAATATAATATTATATATCTCACTAGCTGGTATCTGGCGTATTGTTACCACAGAAGAATTAAATGTGGAAATATCGTTTTAAATTTATGTAAAATTATATTGTTTAATTATGAATTATAATAATGATAATATAATAACTTTTAAATATTTGTTGGAACGATACGCGTGCCACATACTGTAGTGAAATGTACTATGCCTATTACCTCTGCACAAGTGCAAGTAATAAGTTAATAAAGTTTTATCGTTATCTAATTTAACGTTATGGCAGTGCATAAAATACGAACAGAGAAAAATTAATTTTTATATATTAGATTAGTATTTCATTATAGTTCATTTCATCATTATCATCATCATTACAGCCCTTCACAAGTCCACTGCTGAACATAGGCCTCCCCCAAAGAATGCCACAAAGCACGGTCCTGAGCCACCTGCATCTATCGACTTCCTGCATGTCTTACCAGGTCGTCACTCCATCTCGTGGGGGGACGCCCTACACCTCGCCTACCGGTACGAGACTGCCACTCGAGAACCTTTCTTCCCCATCGGTTGTCGGTTCTTCGAGCTATATGGCCGGCCCACTGCCACTTCAGCTTACTAATCCGTTGGGCTATGTCGGTTATTCTGGTTCTACTGCGGATATTTAGTATAGTTCATTTATTGGAGTATAATGTACTAAGTATTTAAGTACAAATATTTGTACATTTTTTAGTTCAATAAAGGTGAATTTAAGTTTGGTGTAGTAGCCGATTCTCTAATTTTCATTAAGAAACATAGAAATTCATTTTTTTTAATAAGTTATAGTACAAATTACAAATTGGTAATCATAGACTTATGTGATGTCTTAAAGGATTTCGCCTAAGTAATAATCTGTGTGGTACCACATCACCGGTTTTCAGTCGCGACTTTAAATGACAACCGTACATTAAATGTAAATAATTTCAAATTAAAATTTTTGTACAACCGACTTCAATATATATTATTAAGAATAACTAAAAAACTATTGGTCAGACCTTAATCATTATATGTGACCACATGAGAAGCACCAGCTTTCAAATAAAAAAATAAGCCTCGAAATCGGTTCACGTAGAACAAAGTTATAACACACATAATTAAAAAAAACATATAATCGAATTGAGTACCTCCTTCCTTTTGAAGTCGGTAGAAGAGCATTTAAACTAATAAAAAAACGCATTTAAAGTAATCCAAAGGAGAGGTGTACTAACAGTGAAGTAGGTGTACTTGTAGTACTGTCCGCCGGTGAGGCGCGGCAGCTGGCCCACGGTGGCGGCGTCCGCGTACGCGTTGCAGCACGCGAACACGTGCACGCACACGCCCGCCGCCGAGCACGCCTGCCCCAGCTCGTTGTACGCCGTCGTCTGCGGCACTGCACACACGCACGTGTCACAAGTCACCACCGGTCACCACAACCCACCATTAGCCCACCACACACATGACGCCCTCCACGTCAAGTGTTAGCGAACATAGTTTAAGCAACACATGCTGACACACCTTTCTCGCTTCTCTCACATTCATATATTATCGCAAAAATGCTCATCGAACTAAGCATAATATTCTGAATTCGATCCCTTTTCAATATATCACAAATTAGCTGTAAAGTATGTAACAAGTACCCTATATCGCCCCGTTTTTTACGTGGTAGAACCATGCTGCAGCTATATTAGTTGTGTAGTTGTAGCACGAATGGGTCGGCTCGACTGGGTAAGGACCACGCTCTCACAAAATACCAGCGTAATATAGCAGCTTAGCGCTGCTGTGTTTCATATGGTGAGTGTATAGAACCGGAGACCCCTTTTACTGGAAATGAGACATTTCATCTAAGTCCTCACGGATAACAACGCATCTGCATTTTGATTTGTAATAGAGAATAGATGTAGATGTCTATGGGCCGCAACAACCACTTACCATCAGGTGAACTGTGTGCTCGTTTGTCACCCTTATACTATAAAAAAAAATAAGTGTCGTAAGAAGCGATAGAGAAAAACAAAACAGGCGTCCAGCATCAACACAGGTGTGTTTGCAGGTGCAAAGCGTAACAACTATAGAAAATAATAGAAAATAACCCCCAAAAATGAGGCAATATATGGAAAGGCGTATGATCAGCAGTGGATTGTGATAAATTGTTATGAAGATGATAAAGTAAATAGTACAGTAGAAGATAAACTTCCAATAAAAACGGTCTTCAGTTTTCTACACTTACCGTATACAACAACAGAATTAAGCTGCAATTTTACACTGGTATTAGTATGATCCTACCCAAGTCGAGACAATGCTACAACCGTAATATAGCTACAGCATGACTCCATCACGTAAGCATGCAGAATGCATAAGAATTTTTATGGAACTATTTCATTAATTACAACAAGCGGTAAATTTAACTTTGTACAATCGACTTCAATACAAATATAATTTCTTGTTGATTTTTTAAAAACCCCTAGATCGATTTCGATAAAATTTAAATGGGATCACCTGGAAAGTATACCCTTTGAAACCAAAAAAAGAATTTTCCAAATCACTTTAAGCACTTTTGAGTAATCGAGTTCTTTTTTTTTTGAGTAAACATACATAAAAAAAGATCCCGACGTATTGTAAATCTCCTCCTTTTTTGAAGTCGTGTTACCAAATGGCATTATAATAGCTACAATTATTGTAGGGCAACATAATCTGGGACAGTTTACCGCCTTATTCCTCGTAATCATTAATTTATATTTTTCATTGAATTGTTATGTAAAAGACCATAAGACTTTAGCGTGTATTTAGCAAATTAATCTATGCATCACGGCATACATGTAATGTATTAAGCTTCTATTCAAGTTTTTGAAATGAAACATTACTTTCATTCATTCGATAACATAAATTGTTACTCAGTCAGGGGCGGGGTTAGTCTACTCCTAATTCTCACATTTTTACATTATCAGTAGGCCTAGATTAACACCTATTCTGCTCTCCTGTCCGGCGAGCAGTTTGGCGAATGACTCTGGTGGAGAGCGCAAGTCGTGTTGATCCCCAGGGCAAGTCTGACGAGTTCTTCCTTCACGTGGTTGCCGCCTGTTATTTGGTCTAGCTCTAGTTCAATAGGAAACAGACAGAACAGAAACACTCAGACGATTCTCATTTTCTTTTTTTTTTATTCCACTCCCTTTTTCCTATCTTAACCCAATCCAAGTTGTTAAGCGTACCGGGCCTATAGATGCGTGGCTGGGGGGAAGTCCAGTCGTAAACGGTGCCTAACCGAGACCGGGGCGATTCGGGTAGTATTTTAGTAATTCTCCCGGAATGCGGGGCTCTGTCTGGGGTGACCGACTTTTTCCCTGGCTACTCGTGGGACCAAAATGGACGAAGATCGACATTTCGATAAAATTAACTCTCCTTTAATGGAACTGATTGTAGGTCTGGAAGAGGCTCTTTTAGCCTCATAAACACACTGCAACGCCCCAACCTGGGATGAGCCGAGAAGTGAAGGGCACGTCTGCAGTCGAACCACAGTCGGAAACGAATCAGAGAGGGGAAAAGAAATAGTTCAATAGGCCTGGGCAGCACGGAAGAGGTACCGAAGGATGATAGCAGCTGAAACAGGAGCCGAAGAAGCCCTCTGTCACTGCGAGAAGCCTTGGGACGAAATTCCTCTGCCCAAACCTCCCACAGTTCCGAAGGTGAAAAAACGTAATCGGTCTGAGGAGGAGCCCCCAAAGACCAGCCCAGGAAATCTGTGAAGCTAGCAACAGGGTAGAAGAAACTCAGCTTCAGTGCCGTATATAGCTCTGCGATCTAGACAAGCCAGGACTGGATTGTGGGTGAGATCGGAAAACTGAACCCATGGCCGGAGGCAAAGCTCCTGATAATACCCGAGAGCGAACTGCCTAAACCTCAACTGGGCATTACCTTTCTGCCACTATTTAATAGGGCTAAAAAACCAAAGAATGGGATATTTATAGTGCATCCATAACCGATTATAATAAAGAAATTAGGAATGCTAAGAGAGCATCATGGAGGAAGCTATGCGAGGAAGTTGAGTCTTTGCCTCGCAGTGCGAAACTACACAAAATGCTATCGAAAGCTAAACCTAATTAGATTAGGCTTCTTAAAAAGCTTGATGGTAACTACACTAATAGTTAAATGGAAACACTGGAGCTACTAGCGCCAACCCATTTCCCAGGGTCACACATATGACTCTGGCCTCGAACTCTTTCAAAGCGTTACAAAGGCCTTGTAATGAGGACTGGTGTAGGGCTACAAAGATAATAAGACCAAACCTGGTGCAGTGGACTGTTGACTCCTTTAAGCCATATAAAACAACCGCGGAGGATGGAATAATGTCCATCGATTTACAGAGGAGTATCGATATCCTTCTTCCTTATCTGGTAAAAATCTTCAGAGCAAGTTTTGCATGGGGTTATATGCCAGAACTATGGACAATTGTCAGTTATATTTATAACTAAGGCTGGTGGAAAGGACTACGCTTTAACAAAGTCCTTTAGACTATAACCTTTAGTACATATGACCTGTCTTCCTTTCTTCTTAAGATTGGAAAAAGTTGTAGATAGATATATTAGGGATGTAGCTCTAGCTACGAGACCTATACACTACAACGAGCATGCTTACCGCAGAGGCAAATCTACGGAAACAGCCATGATCAGTGTTATTGACAGGGTCGAAAAATCGCTGGAGGGTAAAGAGATAGCCCTTTGTGCCTTTCTAGACATTGAAGGCGCCTTCGACAGTAGCCCTACATCACTACCGATTGGGGGCCTGACATCTAAAAATGTTGGACCCACAACCATCGGGTGGGTGAAGTCGATGCTCTCAAACAAAAAGACAAAAATAGAGCTGTTTCAAACTTCGATTGAGGTTGCAACTACAAGAGGCTACCCACAAGGTGGTATTTTATCACCCCTCCATTGGACTCTTGCGATTGACCAATTATTGTACAAGATGGCAGACCTTCGCATTGACACACGGGGTTATGCTGATGACCTTGTGATCATTGCGAGGGGCTTTTGCCAAAGTACTTTATCATTAATCATACAAAGAGCCCTAAACACCATAAACAACTGGTGCAGGGATAACAGTTTATTAATGCTAATAAAACTGTTATAAGTACCCTTTACCAAAAAGAAACGGTTGGACAAATTAGTCACACCAAAACTTAATGGTAAAGACGTACCAATCTCCACTGCAGTACTTGGGCGTAACAATCGACCAAAAACTAACGTGAAAGTAACGTGAACGTAACGTCAAAAGGCTAAAATTGCTTTAGGTACGTGCAGTCGGGAACAACTGGGGCTTGCGTCCCAGTATGATCCTATGGCTGTACAGCAGTATAGTAAGGCCGATTCTTACCTACGCCTCCACATAAAGCCATATAAGGTGAAATAGGGCCAACCAAAAGACGACTGCGGACAGACTAAATAGTTACAAACGACGGCCTGCTTAATGGCAACTGGAGCGATGCGATCACTGCCTGGAGCGGCTCTTAATGCACTTCTAGGCCTAACGCCCCTTGATATTGCTATTTACTTAGACAAGGAGGCGAAGGCTAGTTTTTATAGGATTAACGCTCTTACAAACTAGCCTTGTTTGAATTTGAGCTTGCTTTCCTCTAGATTGAGATCCATGCTCAAGGAAACACCGATCTTATGCATGATCTCAGATATCATGTGTCCACTATATACTTTTAACAAAAAGTATACAGTGGAAACACCTTCCAGAGAGGACTGGCTGAACGGATAGGTCATCTGTGAGGTTGGTAGCCTTATATGGTATACCGATGGGTCAAAAATATGCCTTAACATAGGGTTTGGAATCTATGGAGAACACCGCAAATTCAAACTTAGTATTAATTTGGGTAGATCCACCTCTATTTTCCATGCAGAAATTTTCGCCATAATTCAGTGTGCGGAAATCAATCCGCAAAAACACTACGTTAACCATATAATCTATAATAACGCTGATAGTCAAGCACTGAGATCAAACTTGGTGAACTCGAAGCCAGTTGGAGACTGCGTGAACCGTCTAAACGCCCTGGATCACGCGGGTATTGTAGGCAATGAAACTGCCTACAAGCTCGCACGAAAGGGCTCAGAGTACACAATTTGGACACGAGACATTTTGTGGAATCTCAAAAAGCCTCGCCCGATTGGCCCTGGAAACTCTTTATCACAATAAATCACTTAAGATCTGATCTGATACACCAGACCTAAACATTCTAATGCCTCCTCTACACTACGCGAAGTAGGTCGAAGTTGGACGAGGCGAATAGTGTAGAGAGGTACTTCGATTTATTTCGTCCAACCTCGCTTCGCCTCGGGCGACTTCCCATCGCTGTCGGTTTTTTGAGCCAGAGTCAAAGGACTTCACGAAGTACCCCGAAGATACACGAAGCGTCTCACTACACTACTTGGCTTACGCCAGTTATAAATATTTTTTTATATATATAAATATTAAATATGTAGCTTTCTACATAATTATTTATTTAGTCAACGCATTGAGGTCGTACTGTTCACACAATTAGGTACCTATAGGAGCTGCCTCTTGAACGTCATTCATGTTAAGGTTGCGGGAGATTCAACACGACTGAGCTCTTCGCGAAGTAGCACGAGTGTGTGGTCACGTTCTTCGGAATGCGATCGACTTCGACGAGCACTTCGTCGAAGTTACTTCGCGAGTAGTGTAGAGGAAGCAAAAAACTTGAACCCGGGCTTTCGATCATAAATTTGCTTCGGTAGGCCTGGGATTAGGTAAAAATAAATTGCGCATTCTAGTAAGAGCCCTGACTGGACACTGTTGTCTTAAAAAGCACATGTCCATCCTGGGACTAAGCAACTCAAGGATGTGACCGTTTTTTTTTTTTCTAGAGGCGGAAACGCCTTTACACATCCTGAAAAATTGCGGACCCTTAATGTGCAAACGCAGCACTCATCTGGGAAACTATATAGTTCTTTTTTTTATAGGATAGGGTGACAAACGAGCAGACAGTCCACCTGATGGTAAGTGGTTACTGTGACCCATAGACATCTACATCTATCCTCAATAAAGACTCAAGATGCAGATGCGTTGTCACCCGTGAGGACTAAGATGGAATGCCCCTTTTCCAGTAAAAAGGGTCTCCGGTTCTCTACACTCACTATACGAAACACAGCAGCGTTGAGCTGCTATTTTACGTTGGTATTCTGTGAGAGTGTGATCCTTCCACAGTCGAGCCGACCCATTCGTGCTACAACTATACTACTAATATAGCTGCAGCATGGCTCTACCACGTAAAAAAAAGTTCGCCCAGAAGAAGTGAAATTACTCACAGCTAAGCAACTCCTTCTACTCATTGAGGACGTAGGGCTTAGCAGTGAATTGTAGATATAGATGCGATCACAATAGATCTTTTAGGTCGCAGTGATACTGGTCTCTCTAGACCTGTATACCTGCTAGTACATAATAATAATAATACTCACTCAGTATTTGTTTCTCCTTATCTGTGCCAAGCAACTTTCTATCCTCCCTATTGATGAGCTTGCCGGGAGCGTTGTAAGTCGGCAGGGTAGTGTGGAAGACCAACAGCTGGCCTGACGTGTCTGCTGCTTTCAGAGCTTCTAAACCAGCCTGAGTAATAGAGCAAATTTCATATTACCCAGTGAATAGTTTGCTGAAAAACACCTGTACATAATACATACTCATATTTTTGGTAAAATATAAGGCACATTATTAGATAAAGGCTATCGCTAAAATAATATTTACAAACAAAAAAATGGGCAGTATGATACCTTGGCATAACTAGGCCACACAATCATCTTAACTAGTATGAGCTCTTTATCTAGCTTTGGATAGTTCACTGATATTATTATTATATAGTATTTCACTCAAATAAACAAGATGCAGCAATTACCTGTACAGCGGGTAACAAAATGGTCTCCGTCTCCTTGTTGTCCCTGAACATGGCGGGCAACTGCTGCAGCAATGCTTCCAGCACTGGACCACTCTCTTCAGGCAGCACCAGGAAACCTTCGAGGAGTGGCACAAACATGTCCCCAACATCTCCCACAGACATCATTTGCGGCTGTGACAATGTTCCCTGCAATGTATCAGATAAAACGAGAGGTCGAATCAAGTTCTAATAAAAAGGTCCAGGATTAAGCCGCAGGTCAGTCGTTAGTCGGTTATTTGAGTTACTTTTTTGGTCAAATACAATAACAATTCAGAGTAAATAATTGTGCCAGTCTTAATGACAATGTGTAACTTTCACTTCTGTGACATAAATTTGCTTTGTCACTCTTTCCTCGTTCATTCTTTTTACATGACCAAACAACCGAAGCATTCCTTTCTTAATCCTGGCCACAGTATCACCTTATAAACTACATTTCTTTTACTTCTCTTATCACACCATTTCTCCCCCTGTCCTTCAGATTCAGCCCTAACATACATCTTAATGACCGCATTACTACAGCACTTTTCAACTCTCGTGATTCTTCATGCGATTATTAAAAAGTTCAAAAAAGTTATTCTGCTAGCTACATTCACATTTTAACTGTAAATTGCTTTAAAATTTTCTTGGACTACCTTAGTCGCTCACATTCGGGTCAATATGGAAACTAGTTTTAAATTGCTACCATAATTATTGCGGATAAAACAAACCTTAATATTATAGAAATGCACTGTGGAACTGTATGTGATGAAGCCAACGCGTGTCACACTTTTACCCGTCTGCTCGTCTTTCGGCATGGCCTGTAAACAAAAACAATTTTTTTTTTACATTACCCACCCTAGGATTTTCTCCTGTATCGCACAGGCAGTTTACAATTTCAAACACAAATTGCACAAGGACAAAAAACTACGCAACGAATTTTGATGTGGTTTTCATCAATAGACAGAATGATTCAATTGGTTTATATGCATAATACATTCATATTATATATTATATAATACTTCTGTCCGTGTGTATGTGACTGAACTTCTCCTAAACGGCTTGACCGATTTTGATGAAATTTTGTGTGTGTGTGTGTGTGTGTGTGATTAAGTTGATTGGAGAATGGTTTAGATTCACAATTGGACCCGGTAGATGGCATTGCTGTCGAGATGCAGAAATCAACTGTGCTAAGCCGGGACGGACCACTAGTACTGTATATGCTTTCACACGTATATCACAGGAAGACAAAATAAAAAATGTAAGCAACTTCCAGGGACACTTAAGCCGGTATTCAGAAACAAGCTTACACTCCACAATGTCAAAATTAATGTAACAGAATATGGCCCATTGGTATTGTAAGAGGTGACAGAGGAAAACTAATCCATGAGATAGGAAGCAGCATCCGTCTTGAGAACTGAACAGAACAATTAAAATACTGTGGTTGCTATAACCCACCTGCCAAGCATGGCAACTATAGAAAATTAGCTCCTCCCCCGCACTCCCACAAATGAGTAGACTTGGAATGCTTTGTGGTGATAGTTATACTATGGTCTAGACCAGTGGTGTGCAAACTTTCTTAATGGGGGGCCAGAAAGTTTAAAAAATTTCATAGGAGGGCCAGAACTATAGGAAAAATGCATTTTGTGTTGAAACTTTTAATCATATAAAAATATTACAGCATTACACGCTTGCACAAATGTTAAAAATTAAAATTTAAACTTTTATTCGAAGACCCTGCCATAGTAGGCGTGTGAGGTATATGAAATTGCTTTTGATTTGCCATAATATTGGGAATTCAGCTTTAGTGCCCCGCGCTCCACGACCCGCAACACATGAACTACGTGGCTAGTCTATCTGGCTCCTTTACCTATGCGTCTATTATTCTACTAAATAGAATCTACTTAATACTTCTGGACCGTCAAAATATAATTATCGCGGGACATATACTATTCATGTCGAAAGACCGTCGGCGGGCCGGAGATGGCCCGCGGGCCGTACTTTGCCCATCACTGGTCTAGACTAATTTTGACACTAATTTTGGCAATCTCTGAATGCCAATCTTAATAGTTGCAGGTGTCCATGGGCTGATGTAGCCATTCACCGCCATACGAACAGTTAGCTGCATTCACATTATATATGATTGCACAATAACATGTTATTCAAACAGGAGTAAAATTCCATTATCCATTACAGCCTATCCAAAGTTCAGTCCTGTACCAGTGCCACCGCCCCTCATAGAGTGCCTAGTGTGGGGTATTTTGCCATAGTTGCCACGCTTGGCAGGCGCGACGACAGCGACAGTTGTTTATTAGTTTCAGTTGTTACGAGGGTGGATTGAAAAGTACTCGGCCTAACACAGATCCATTCAATTCTAAAAATCAAATCTACCCACATTATTTAGTTCAGTTCAGACTAGTTCATTGTGTGAAGTTCGAAACGTGTGCGATAATTAGTTGTGATTTTATAAATTTATTAACAAAGTAATCGGACATAATTTCCGCGAATGGAGCAAATCGAGCAGCGTGCCTTCATTTAGTACCTCCATAAGAAGGGGCTATCATCAAAAGCCATCCATGATGACATGGTCAGTACATTAGGCGATTGTGCTCTGTCATATTCATCCGTCAAAAAATGGATAGCAGAATTTAAGCGTGGTAGAGAGAGTGTGAAAGATGAACCCCGCTCTGGAAAGCCTTCGACGTCAACTACTGACGAAAATATTAAAAAAGTACTTGATTTAATAATGGGAGACCGCAGATTAAAAATTAGAGAGATAGCCGAGATTATAGGCATCTCTTATGAACGAACTCAAAACATCATTGTCAACGAGTTGGGTTTCCACAAGGTGTCTGCGAGGTGGGTTCCGCGACTGCTTTCAGTTGAACAAAAAAGGACGCGATTGACTATTTCACGCGACTGTTTGGAGTTATTTGAAGCCGATGCAGATGATTTTTTGAATCGTTTTGTTACTATGGACGAAACATGGGTTCATTACTGTACACCGGAAACAAAACAACAATCAAAACAGTGGAGAAGACCTGGTTCACCACCCCCTAAAAAGGCTAAGTCGATTTTGTCGGCAAATAAGGTGATGGCTTCAGTATTCTGGGACTCGAAAGGTGTGATTATGATTGATTATCTTGAAAGGGGTCAGAATATAAACTCTGATTACTACTGCACCTTACTACGTCGTTTACGAGAGGAAATAAAAGAAAAACGTCGAGGAATGCTCAGAAGAAAAGTCCTGTTTCATCAAGATAACGCCCGTGTTCACACGTCAGTACAGTCAATGGCTGAAATTCACCACTGTGGCTTTGAACTGTTACCGCATCCGCCGTATTCACCTGATCTGGCACCATCAGACTTCTTTCTGTTCCCTAACCTAAAAAAGCACTTGGGAGGTTAAAGATTTTCGACAAACGACGAGGTCAAAGCAGCTGTAGACGCATATTTTGACTTTAAGGAAGAATCATTTTTTTTCAACGGTCTAAATGCTTGGAAGGGGAGGTGGCAAAAGTGTATTGAACTTGATGGTGATTATGTAGAAAAATAAAAATATAACTGATTTAGTATTTGTTTATTTTCTTGGTTAGGCCGAGTACTTTTCAATCCACCCTCGTATTAGGTAAATGATGCTGCCCAACCAGTTTCAGTTTTCTTCTGACGCCTCTTACGACACCCACGGGACGATACGAGGTAGTGGATATTCTTACACCGCCACTACACCATGAAGCAAAATGAAATACATTTATTATTCAACATAAAACATTTAAATTTCCTGTTACTACTCTAATAGAAAAAAAATGGAAATCTATATATATAGTTGTTATGTATATAATAAAACCTCACCTCTATAAAGTCCATGATGTTGTCACACACTGTCTGCAACAGCCCGTTCTTGATGGCGTTGTATGAGACGTCGATTACAAACACTATAGCCGGCGGGTTTGGAAGCTTATTATTCTGTAGAGAAAACAAGTAATCTGTTATTTAAAAAAAATCTAGCTCATAATAAGTTACCCGCACTAGGATTTTCTCCTGTATTGTGGAGGCAGTTTACATGCATAAATTGCACAAGAACAAACATCCAGACCTGGAACATTTTTTTTATAGAATAAGTGACAAACGAGCACACACTACATCTGATGCTAAAGATGCTGTGGCCCATAGACGTCTATATTTATCTTCGATTAAGAATCAAAATGCAGATGCGGCGTCACTCCTGGAGGATTAAGATTGAATGTCTCGTTTCCATAAAAAGGGTTTCCACTTCTCTACACTCAACACACCAATTTTTTTGAAGAATTTTAAGCCCAAAGATGCTGAATGTGTTATTTTTGCCAAAATAGTTAAAATTATTTTTAAAAAAAAACTTTACTTCAAAGGAAAAACGTTTATAATTCATTAATTTTTCATTAACTTGCACTCACCCTGCAATATTCTTTAGTGGCGACAATTTCGTAAGTCCCAAGCGCCATTTCGGCGGGAACGCGTCCATATTGTTGCATGCTGTTTATATACTGCGTGTATTCCATAGGCACTGTAAAAGTTGACAATCAATTTGCAATAATTAACTACTTGACAGTATCAATTATAAGACTTTTTAAATTTGAATGTGATTTAAGGGCAACAAAACGTTTTTGCATACCGATCAACACTTACAAATGTGTGCGTGTGCAAGTACATTCAGTTAAAATAATGCATTACCACGCATTTTGAATTTAAAAGAGAGAATGTTTGTTTTTTTTTTTAATTCAGATTTCTGCACCATTTGCCTATATACTAATTATTCTGAACCTTCTCTGCAAATTTGGCCGGTTATTGCAAAATAACCCTGTATACAATTATTATAAAGCAATTATCTATGGTTTGTTCAATTGTAGTCTATACATTACATATTACACAAATAATGTATTTATTATTTTCAGATGTTATCAAGAAGATTTTTGATCATCTCACTTTTCCTGCCACCTCTTACGACATCCAAGGGATGACATGTGAAAGTGGATTCTCTCACACTGCCACTACGCGGAGCACTTGGAGAGTACAATAAATTCAAATATTTCGGATCTGAACATAAAATGCTGAAACTGGTGAACAATGTAGCATCTGATGTGCCTGGTTGCTTGGTGATTTTCAATTTGGAAGAATCATTGGGGTTTTGGATCAAAAAAGGTCTAATTTTCAAAACAAATGTTACTCCTTGGAAGAGGTCCATGGTCTATATATGTCTTGCAGATTTCACAGCGGCCAGTCTCAAAGGAGTGAGGAACACAGAACACTTTTAATGTACGAATGGCGCAGGCGCAGGACCAACGGCTTTACGTGCTTTCCGAGACACAGGGGGTGAAATACCGTCAAATTCCTGACTCCGTGTTGCTACAGAATTTATTGATAGCAAAACTCAATAACTATTTTTGCGAGAACCGGGATTCAAACCCGGAGCCACATAATCAGCAGCCACGTTTACAATCACTATACCAATGAGGATGTCACATCCTAAAATAGTAAGCCTGTGAATTCATGTTAATCACATACCTTCAGTAGTGGCTTTGCAGAAGGCACACTTGAAATGTCTGCCAGCATCAATAAACTTCATATTGGGGCACATGTAGGCCTTACACCGACAGCAACGTACGGGGCCCATAGTAGGAGAGCCTGTTAGCGCTGCAAAGTCCAATAATGGTGGTTCTTGTTCTGAACCTACCGTCTCCGCCATGGGTGAGATCTGAAAGAATATTTCTAAGTTAGCTTTCGTGTCTCCTTTTTTTCTAAAAAGTTTATATACTAGTTAGTATATGGACAAAATTGCTGGCGACTGTAGACACTATTTGAATCCTGACTCCCTACTTAAAGATACCTTGGGTAGTGCAAAACGACCACAACCACAGTATTCAACTACACAACAGGTCTTTCTGAGGGACTTCAACTTCACAAAGACTGACTGTTTATATACCAGAGGATCCACTACAAGAATGGCATTGATTTATACAGCCTGTAGCTGGAACTTTCTTAGCTGATAAAGCAAAAACTAAAATTATACATTCTAGTTTAGTTACAGTATACAATTCTAGTTAAGTTTCCTTTGATTCAAAGTGTTCGGACTTAATATATTGAAAAAATTATCACCTATTAAACAAAGTAAAAAAAAAAGTTAATACTTACAACCAAACAGAAAGGCATGGAGGTCTGCTTAAGAAGGTCTGCAGTGACTGGGACACTGTACATGGAGCTCCTAATGTAACGGGGACCTGTAAAATTTTAAAAGTTTCTTGAATCACACCTACCACCAAGGCTTAATAGAACACATAACTGAGGCGTTATATGGAATATAATATATTAAATATTAGGTTAAATATAATGGCTCAGATAAAACAGATAAAATACATAGAAATATCTATATAGAGCCAAAATAAAAAATATATACTCATTTGCTTGAAGGTTGTTGGAGTTGCAAAAAAAACACAAATTAATATTTCTACAGTTAATTTATATATTACAGGAAATACCTAAAGAGCTAGTAAATCTAACTTTACCGTAACACTATTTGAGTTTATGTTTATAGAAAAAGAGTGATAAAAAAGAGCACACAATTTCACCTTATAGTAAGTGGATGCTCAGGCCCATAGACATCTACATTTATCCTCGATTATGAATCAAAATGCAGATGTTTTGTTACCCCTCTGAACTTGGATGGAATACTTTGTTGAAACAAGGCATTCCATCCATGTCTATGATAAGGGTCTGAATAATTTATAAATAATATGAGGTGAGGTCGCGTAATTATGTCTTTTGTTAAATTCGTCAAAACGCATTGTTTTGACGAATTTAACAAAAGACATAATTATTTCAAAAGCACAGGGTAAACCTAGGTTTACTAGCACTATGGCCATTAGCTGTAACAATACAAGGAATACTGACTTGCATTGCCCTTGTCGTCGACAAGGAAATCAGTAGTCACGAGTGGCGGCACTAAGCCCTTCTCGTTGGTAACAAACACACCACCGCGGTTCTGCTGATCGTCTGCCATAACTTGAATCTGAAAATCGTTAAGTTAACCCTGAGTAATGTGATGACCGTGTAGTGGAGGTGTAAGAATATCCACTACCCATCCCATGGGTGTTATTTTTTTTTATAGGATAATGATGGTAAGTGGATGATGTGGCTCATAGACATCTACATTTATCCTCAATTAAAAATCAAAATGCGGATGCGTTGTCACCCCTGAGAACTGAGATGGAATACCTAGTTTCCAATCGTTATACAGGTCTGTCAAAGGCAAATGAAACAGGATGAAATTTCCTATAAATCATATTTCAAATAAAAAATCTGTGTTTGCCAACCTGCCTGCCAAGAGTGGCAGCTATGACAAATTTTTACCGTATGAAGCAATTATGGGAGAGACCTATTTTACAGCAGTGGACTTTTAATAAGCTGTACTATAAAATGTTTAACAAAGTCTATTAAAACTACAATATCAAAGGTTCTCAAGTAAAGTAGAATAGCAGTTGTGGAGTTTGTCGTAAACACTGACTTCTCACACCTTAAGACACTACTCCCAGTCATTGATCTAGGTTATTTGGAAGTACAATTTTAAAATCTGCTATTCCATACTCTGTCAGATGTTTGAAATTCCCCGGTCGAGCCGACCTATTCTAAAGATTTTTGAACGTCCTTTCGAGGTTGTGATATTGCAACCTACGGTTTTGATTGTCGTCGTCGAACTACTGTACTGAGTAGACGTGTGTTGATTTTGGTGAAAAATATCTAATTAGTGCTCCTCAAATCTATTTCGTATATTCAAACCGAATGGACCTTTAATTGTGTGGAAAGTGATTTATGACAAAAACCCCTTTTAAACTGAAGACAATACCGTCCAAAGCATCGATAACTGCACCAGCGAGCGGGGCGATGTACTTCACCTCCGCGGAACCAGCACAGTGGCTATTTTTTAACTCGCTCGCTCACTGACCCGGTGTTCTAAGCATACAGTACTGCGCGTGAGTTGTGTATTTATTATCTTACGCTGTAAACAAGCCATTCTTGAAGTTGTCTGTATCATTGTACACTAAATTATATATATATATATATTATTTTTTTTGCAACTGCTACAATGAATATAATTCGATCTCCACCTACTACCGCCGGCGGCTCGCAACCTGACTTGTCAAAAATGCCGGCAGATAATATTTCTGATACACAAATTACTTTTAGAAAACGTAAACAACCAACAGATCGTGAATGCCAGTGCTCGGATGAGATTAAGTTGGTGCGAAATGAGTTATCACGAATCACTTCCTTATTAGAAAACTACATTGGGTCAAATACACAAATAATGAGTCAAATGAACCAGAGTATCGTTGAAGTTAAGAGTGAAATCACCGATCTACGGGCCTCGCATGAACAAACGAGAAACTTGATTAGCTCTAATGTAGCAGAAATTAGTGTACAAATCCAAGACATTAAGACTGCCACGTCCAAAATTTCTTTAGAAAACAGCCATATAAAAACTTAATTGTCGCAGTTGCAGTTAAAAGTATCAAACGGTGAGGACAAAATAAACCTACTTGAAAACGACTTTAAACAATTATGTGTAAGCTCGCCAGCCACTCAAACTAATCAGCTGTTTGTAAATGAGCAAATTATTCGCGAAGTCCAAGAGCGCAAAAAGAGAGAAAATAATATAATTATAGTTGGCATACCAGAACAAAATTCCACCAGCACCGAAGAGCGAATCCTCAAAGACGAGGTTGAGGTTCTAAAAATTATTTCAATGATAGAGAAAGAAATTCCGAAACCAAATAAGGTTTTCCGCATTGGCAAGTATAATCCGGGAAAACAACGAAAGGTTAAAGTCTGCTTTGACAAACCAGAGACAGCCAAGGTGCTCCTTCGCAACAAAGAGAAATTACCTGATAGTATAAAAATTTTCTCTGATCAAACACCGGCTCAACAAAAATACTTCCTGAATATAAAAGATGAACTTTCACGACGCACAGAAAATGGAGAAAGTGATCTCACAATAAAATATGTCAACGGCATACCAAGTGTTATAAAATCGGTTTCAAAAAACTTCAATCACCAATGATAAATAACACCTTACCCGATACCATAAACTATCAAATAGTTAACGACTACCAGCTTATCCACACTGCAAAATCACGTTTATCATTTCTTTACTTAAATGCTCGTAGTATTCGGAAGAAAGGCAAACTCGATGAACTTAAATGCATTATACAATCAATATCAACAACTGTACACATTATTTTGCTCACAGAAACTTGGATACAGACCGAAAATCAAACTTTACAACTACAAATCCCTAACTACACACTTTACTCTAACTACAGGACGGATATAAGAGGAGGTGGAGTATCAGCATATATACATAATAGCTTAAAACATAACCTTATCGAATCAACTTACCAAGACGGAAATAACTACTTATGGATAGAAATTGAAAAATTTGCACTGGATGTTGCCGTGGTCTATAATCCTGGATATACAAATTTTCAAAAATTTTTGGAAGTATACGACAAGCAATTACAGGATCACAAAAGAGCAATAGTTTTCGGAGATTTTAACATTGACCTGTTGACAAAAAATAAGAAATTAAAACAGTACAAACAAGTAGTCAATGAATCAGGATACAGATTACTCAACAAAATCAACCAAACATATTGTACAAGAGATTCCACCACAAAGAAATCGATCATAGACCATGTTAGCACTAACCTAAGAGGTGACCATTTCAATATTGCTATGATCAACTCATCTATGACAGACCATAAACAAATTTATGTACAATTAAACCGATTTAAACCACCAAAAAAAATACGGACACGCTATGAAGCAATCAACTATAAGACACTATATAACTTGATAGAATTACACGGGTTTCGAGAAGATTTAAATTACAGTCAATTAGAAACTAAACTAAAACAATGTGTAGAAGAGAACAAAGTAATAAAAACTAAAATATTAAATCCACCTCAAGAAGACAGGATTAATAACAACATACTTACTGGCATTAGTCAAAGAAACTATCTGTGGATACAATACAAAAATAATCGAGAAAATGAGACATTAAAAAAAGAGTTTAAGTTGAAGAGAGTTGCAGTGGCTAGGCAGATCCAAACTACGAAGAATTCCTACTATTATAAACTATTTCAAAATTATATTAATAACCCAAAAAAAATGTGGCACCTTATAAACAATCTAGCAAACAATAAAATTAAACAAAATTGTGCTTCTCCAAAACTTATTGTAGATTCCAAATCAATCAGTAACACGGTCGAGATTTGCGAGGTTTTTAATGAATATTTTTCAACTATTGGCTCCCAATTAGCAGATAAAATACCTAAGAAATATCATAGTAGCGCTACTTCTCCTTTCTCCAAAACACAAACAGTAAATGGTAATGAACTTTCTACACTAGCCCCATGCACTGCTAGTGAAATTAGCAAAATTATACAAAGCCTCGATTCGAATTCTAGTAGTGGTATAGACAGAATTAGCACAAAAGTGATAAAGTGCCTACAAAATTTGATAACACATGGCTTAGCTCGATGTTTCAATAAACTTATGATCGATGGGGAGTTTCCGGATACTATGAAGGTTGCAAAGGTAACACCAATCTATAAATCGGGACTTAAAACCGACCCAGGAAACTATCGTCCGATATCAATATTGCCGGTCATGTCAAAAATTTTTGAAAAAGTCATACATAACCGCTTAGTAAATTACTTAAATTCTTTTAACTTTATATCAGAACGGCAATATGGATTTAGAGCCAAAAGTAGCACCACTACCGCAACGATCGATCTAACGACGAAAATAAAAGATAGTATAGATAAACGGCAAGTGGTTTTAGGTGTTTTTATAGATTTGAAAAAAGCCTTTGATACTGTAAGTCACAAATTGCTATTAGAAAAACTTGAAAGAATCGGTATCAAAGGAAGTGCTCTTAAAATACTTAAATCATACCTATCAAATAGATTGCAAGTAGTGAAGCTGGATAATTTTCAAAGTAGTGCCTTACCTGTCACGCATGGCGTGCCACAGGGATCCATACTGGGACCACTCCTATTTCTAGTCTATGTAAACTACATCGCAGAACTAGGGCTACATGGTCATATAACTCTGTACGCTGACGACACATGTCTGTTTTATTTCGGATCTAATATACATGACATTATCTCGCAAGCGCAAGAAGATCTAGAACTATTGTTTGAGTGGTTCCAATTCAATTTGCTAACGGTAAACACTTCTAAAACATGTTACATAATTTTTAAATCAAAAAACAAAACTATACCATTACATGACCCACTGACAATTGATAACATCCCCTTAGAACAAAAAACCTGTGAAAAATACCTAGGCTTGAGAATGGACAGCTACTTAACATGGAATAACCAAATAGATCACATTAAAAATAAACTTTCGGCACTTACTGGATCACTTCACAATATTTCCCATTGCCTACCTAAAAAAATGCGGTACACTATTTATAACTCTTTAGTCAAATCACATTTAACTTATCTTATTGAAATTTGGGGCAACGCTGCTAAAACTAAGTTACAGGAACTTCAAAGGATACAAAATAAAATAATAAAAATACTTTTTCACTATCCGTATCTAACACCAACTTGTAAAATTTTCAAAGAAACAAAACTTATGAACGTTCAACAACTACATATATATAATACTTGCATTTTAATTAGGAAAATACTTGATAAAACCATCCACACTAACTTGTCTTTTGTAAAGAAATCACAAATTTTGAAACGCAGTCTTCGTCGACCTAGCTTACTTGTACTACCAAAAGTACGAACAAATTACGCAAAAAAAAGCATTACTTTTGAAGGAGCATTGATTTATAATAAATTGCCTTGTAATATAAAAAATGTAAGCTCATTCAATAGTTTTAAGTCTCAGCTGTCTGAATATATAAAGGAAAAATTTTCACCATTCAATTGAGATTGTGAAGCTTTAGAGTGAGTGTTCGGCGACCATTAGAATAAAATTAATAAAATGTAATAATTATTTTCATGTAAGTGGCATTGTTTGTCTTTTTGAAAATAAATTCTTTAAACCTATACACATCTATGTTCAATAACTACTGAGCAACATGCGTTTATCGACTTCTAACATATTTCATAAGGTAATTTTATTCAGTGTTCGGTTATAATTTTTATATAGTCATGTTATAATCATTGGTGCATCTATTAGTGATTGCTTAACTTCTAATTGACTTGACCAAATAAAATACATTTGTTTTATGAAGAAAATAGTTAACATACTAGGATCCGAAAGATAGCGCTAGAGTCAACTTATTAACAAATTCTATATTTAATTACCAAAATCACTCACACATTATGTTGGTTTAGTGCCAAAAAAGAAAATCACATAATCTGGAATCTATAAGTACTATGGTCAAGTAATTAATAAATGTTATAATCGTTTTTATATTGACTAAGGGTGACAAGCTAGCACTGTTATTCACACACTAATCACCTGATGGTAGGTTAATACTGTGACCCATACTCATCTACAATACAATCTATCCTTAAGAATCAAAATGCAAATGATTTGTCACCGTAAGGATAAGGATAAGATAGAATGCCCTGTTTCCAGTAAATAGTGTCTGAAGTTCTCTAAACTCACCATACTAAACACAGCAGCAATCGATTGGACCCATTTGTGCTAAAACCATAGCTGGAGCAAGGCTCTACCACATATAATTTATATATTAATAGTCTATTTACTATGTTTAAATATATATTTACAATGCATAAAGTCTGGAGCTAAATCTGAGTGAAAATTATTGCTCTACTTAACAAAAAAGGTAGAACAACATCTGCCGAGCCAGCTAGCATAAAATATAATTATAATGTCACTCACTGGGCTTGGCATCTGATCTGGATCAAGACGTCTTTGTTGAGGTTGTTGAAACTGCTGGCCAGGGTAACTTGGCTGTTGTGCAGGAAATGGTGGATAGCCAGACTGCTGTTGGTATCCTTGAGGTTGGCCTGGCATTGGAGGTTGAACTGGCATAGGTGGTTGGCCTGGCATTGGATGTTGGCCTGGCATCGGTGGTTGACCTGACATTGGTGGTTGGCCTGGCATTGGTGGTTGACTATGCATTGGTGGTTGACCTGGCATTGGGGGTTGACCAGGCATTGGTTGTTGTCCTGGCATAGGCTGTTGTCCTTGCATAGGCTGCTGTCCAGGCATTGGAGGCATGGCTAAAAAGAAAGAAAAGGTTACAGAAGACGTTGTATAATATTGTAACATATTTTGACATGCATATATAAGAGTAAAGGCCACTCCCATTGTAGAGGAGGCCTATGTCCAGCAGTGGACTGTGACACGCTGATAAAGATGAAGAAGAAGATATAACAGTAATGTTTTATAAGAATAAATCTCTTTCTATCTCATTCTTTGTGATATATAACATGGAAGGTAGTTGAATGATGGCCACAATGGTGATGATAAAAAGCAAACAACATAGTTGGTTTAAGCTGGACACAGTTAATTGTGATAGTTAAAAAAATATGCTTCTGCGATTACATAGGAGGTGGGCTAGATAATACATTAGAAAATCTTTGAGGTAATGTTTAAAAAAAACCGAAATATAATATATGAGGTCTTATTATACCCCTAACACATTTAATTGAAATAATGCTCTGCTTGCATAGTAATGCAGTGATTAAGCGTTTGGCTGTGAGCCGTGGTTTCGAATTCCACACAGAACAATTATTTGCAAGGCCAAAAAATTGTAAATCAAAAAAAATACCTCACATTTACTTGTTTTTTTCAGTTACAAAACGTTAACTCTTATAACAGGATTTTTCCTGTATCTTACAGTTATCTGATATGCGTACATAAATTGCAAAATTACACATAGAGACCCAGAACAATTAATTTTAGACCATATAAATACTTGTTCCGTACAGCATTCCAACCTACGCTAATGCAACGCAGTGAACTAACTCTTAGCCACTGCAAGAAATTATGAAGAATTATTTGTATTGTTTATGTTAAGAACTTTTTTCAAAGATAATTAAAGATTATAAATCAAAGATGTCTCACCTCCATATTGAGTGCTAGTGGGTGGTCCAGGGGGTCCAGTTGGAGCATATGCTCCCCCTTGTTGATTCCGTTGTTGTGATAATGGTGGTGGCATATGTGGGAGACCAGGCATGGAGGGGAATTGGGATTGAGAGGAGGGAATTTGTTGAGGCATACCAGACTGAGGAGGCATGCCACCAGGTTGAGGTGGAAGACTAGATTGCGAGTGTGGAGGCATTTGTCCATGTCCCATCTGTTGGCCAGGCCCTGATTGACTGGGCATAGTTCCCGGTTGTGGGGGTATTCCAGGCATGGGACCTCGTGCCTGTCCTTGATACCCCGGCACAGGTTGTGGAGGTAAGCCTTGCTGTCCTTGTGATGGCGGACCTGGTTGACGCATTTGAGGTTGTTGGACATTTTGTTGTGAATGAACACCTGGCTGATTTGAAGGAGGAGGTAATCCTGGCTGACCTAATCCAGGCTGAGGTAAGCCTGGTTGATTTGGTTGTGACTGCATTCCTGTAGGGAAACCACCCATATGTGATTGTGGATGTTTTGATTGGTCTGTTTGGGAGTCAAAAGGTCTTCCCATCATGCCAGATTGAGGTGGAAATCCAGGTTGGGAATGAGGAGGCATCTGTGGCATTTGCGATGGAGGACCTCCAGGCTGGTTTGATGGAGGACCCGATTGAGATGCCATTGGCTTAGGTGGTCCTTGCTGCATTGGCATTGATGTGGGTGGTCCTTGCTGCATAGGCATTGATGTGGGTGGTCCTTGCTGCATAGGCATTGATGTGGGTGGTCCTTGCTGCATAGGCATTGATGTGGGTGGTCCTTGCTGCATAGGCATTGATGTGGGTGGTCCTTGCTGTACAGTGGTTGATGTGGGTGGTCCTTGCTGCATGGACATTGACGGGGGTGGCCCTTGGAATTGCCGGTTTTGATCCTGAGCAGACATTTGATTAAATCCTTGGGGCTGGGAAGTAGGACCTAATGTGGATGATGGGGTTTGCATTTGGGGAGGAAATTGAGGAGTTCCGCTTGCAGGTGGTCTTCCCGCCATTGAAACTGGTGGCCTCATGTTTTGAGGTAGCTGGCCAGCACCAAAGTTTGAATTAGGTGGAAAATTAGCACCAGGAGGATACTGTCCAGGTGGCAACTGAGAAGAGGGGATACCTTGAGGCCCATTTAAATTCATATTCTGCATTTTCTGTGACATATCACTTTGGTCCAACTGCTTCATAGGCATTTGTGGACCATTTGGTGGCATTTGGCTATACATGTTGGCATTTTGTACTCCATTATAATCTTGAGAAGTAGGTTGAAATCCCATAGGATTATTGGGAGCATTATTATTTTGGCCCGGTGGTAAGTACTGGGGATTCATCATCTTGCTTGAAGCCGATGCACCTGAAAAAAAGATATATTTATTCATTTAAACAAATCCTAGTTCAAGCATATAAAACAATTGAAATGATCATAAAAATTAAAGGAATTAGTAAAGCATGTACTGTAACCACAAATTGTGACACATTTTCTCTTGCATTGTAGAGGCAGTTTACATACATAAATTTCACAAGAACAAACATGCAGATGTGAAACAATTATTTGTAGGCCATACATTTTTCTGTGTGGGATTCGTACCCACATATAAAGCCCATATATAGCCCTCTTTCCCACGGATCATATGGTAAAATTAATAATAACAATAATGAACTGAATTTCGGTCACGGCGGCCAGCCTCAACGGAGACTAGCCATCGGTGCAGGACAGAATTATAGTGCTCAAGTGTATGCGCAAGCACAGGTACACTCTCTATTCCTTCATTCTCATAGTCCGATGAGAAAGTAAACCAACACAAACTGAGAGAGATCAGGCGCAGGACCAATGGCTTTACATGCTTTTCGAAGCACGGGGTTGAGACACCGCCAACTCCATGACTCCGGGCAGCTACTGAGAATTTCTTAATGGAAAAGCTCAATAAATGATTTTTTGGCCTGACCAGGGATTCAAACCCAGGATCTTATGATCACCAGTCACACTACTACAACCACTAGAATTATAACACTTAACACAGTATAAGACTAAGTAACACTTATTAAACAAAAGGTAAGTTGAAAACAAACATTTCTAAATAAATATTATATGCCAGTGACAATGAGAGTCAACCAGTGACCACATAAATTATTCACTGTTTACAGGGTTATTTTTCAGCGTAGTCAAATTTTAAACTAAAGTTCAAATATATAAATAATGATATACCGTTATTGCAGTTTTTGAAAATACAAATAACGCTTCTACTTTTATTTGAAATTATCCCAAATTGAATGTGATTTATGGGCAACAACATTTTTGCCTATCTATCAACTATCAACCCTTACGAATGTGTGCATGCACACATAGTAAAATCAGTTAAAATAATGCATTACCACACATTTTGAATTTGAAAGATAAAAAGGACAAAACATTTGAGATTTTTTAAAATTAATTTTTCTTCCCCATTTGCCTATATTGCTTATTCTGAACCTTCTCTACAAATTTGGCCAGTTATTGCAAAATAACCCTGTTTACAAGTTATATCATTGTATTAGAATATAAACATGTAGCCAAACATACTGATGCACATATGTGGCTTCACCAGTACAAATGTGATAACTACATCTTTGTTGAGCAAAAAATAGTATTTTTCTTTTTTGTTTAAGGACTATATTTCTTTTGTTACACAACTTGCTTTTATTAAGGAACAGTCTCCATCACTCTCTCTGGTTCTTTAAATTCTAAAATAGATATAATAAGATTTTGTATATTTTACAAAATCATTACTACTTTAATATTTTCTGCTAATTTTGTTATGTGGGTAAATTGGATAAATTGTCACTAATTTGATAAACAAATTTTTCCATAATAATTATGCATATACTATTTATAAATATTAAGGTTTTGAATATATCCAATATATAGCCAATTTACTTAACTACTGCTTCAATACATTGTTTCGTTTTTAATTCATTTTATCGAGACTTTTAGTACAGAAAGCAAAATTAGATAACTAACAAAAGTTTTCATCTACATTTTAAACAGAACTTGTAATAATAAATTCCCTACATTTTAGTCCCCTTCATTTCAATTGTGATTGATGTTTGAAGTATTACTTAAAGACATAAACAAACAAGTTATAATAAAATGATTACCAACAGAATAGGAACTCTTGAACTCAGTCATCAAAATACTTAACTCTATTAAGAATGTCGAATTAACAGTTTTTAACTTTAAAATAAGTACCTAGTTCACGAATCACGAAGCAAAAGTTAATAAAATAAGTGAATGTTTACAAAATTACAGGTAAATATCATTATAGCAGCTATTCATTAACTATAACTTTATTAGTAGTAGTACTATTTTTAATTAACACACAAAATAAAATATATTAAATATTAACTAAATAAAACCGAGGAAACGACAGCAAAATGTTTAAAACAATTGTAATACGTAATAATAAATGGAAAGCGGGTCACAAATACAGATCAGAGATGCATCAAACAACTTACTCATCTAACGAAAGAAATTACAATAAAAGCATAAACCTTATTTTAATAGTAAACACGATAGATATTATTTATCTGCTCTATAAATATCATCAAATTAAATTAGAAACCAATCAAAAACCTAATCATTTCCAATAAAATCTTGTTAGTTAGAAGTTTGACAGATGCCGTCGTAATTTATATTGACCGTAACTTCGCCTTATTTGTTGTGCCTTGCATGTGTAAGTAAAGAGGTAAATTTAAAAGATACATCTTTAAATACTTACGGCTTCTATGGCGAATCTCAGCGAATTTTTACAATAAAAAATATAAACAAGACACATGAACAGCACAGACTCACGGGGCCACGTATTCTGGCAGATAGTGTTGTCAGCTTGATATCGCTTATGTGGAACTTTTGAAATTTCATAAAATATGCATAGAACGAAACGTTTTTTTAGCATAATTAGTTATTTATATTTATAGTTATAATAGTTCTCGCAACATAAGTTGTAATTATTGGAATTTTATAAAATCTTTGCACTATATTTTTCACTACATGTCGATTAATATAATTAAAATACCTGTGTACGAGATATTATATTCCTTTTAATACTTCAGAAACGAAACGTTACAAATTATTATGGCAACTCTAAAATACTGGTGTCAAATTAATCGTTATGCAGATCAAATTATACTCTATGTTAGATTGGCTTAGGGTATAAATTCAAAAACCAAATATTAAAAGAGTTTCCCTTTCGGAGTTCCGCTCTCATACACAAGAAACCCTTATAATGATGTGAGACAACAGAATTAGACTTTTGATAAATATTTTTAAAATCAGTTCGGGTTATGTAATGTTTTTTATGACCTACAAATTTTTTAATGTTGGCCAGAAATTTAGAAGTAATTTATAAAAGCTTTTACAAAAATTTACTGCGCAAATATCCGCGTCTAATTTTTGTAAAAGCTTTTATACAATGGATTTCCGCAAAGTAACGCCTGATTCTATTAATTATAGAAGTAATTTGTTTTTCTTTAAATTCTACGAAGTTATGACATTATAATATGTTTATTACATTCTAAGTACATTTCCTATACATTATGTCAACAGCTAATTAATAAATTACTCTCATTGACGGTATGTAGAAATAGTTGATTGATATATTCTTGTTATAACTTCTTTATTAAAGTTGAATATTTTGACTAAGATTTTCAACAAGATGGCTTTAGGTTAGACGTCTAATCCTGCAGGCCTGGCCGTCACATTATGAAGAATATTTTCTTAGAATTTCTTTCTTGAGAATTCAATATTATAAAAAAGAAGATCAAATAAATATATTATGACATCAAATGTCGGAAGGTCTAAAGGTAGTATTTGAAGAAATATGTTACCCGAGCGAGACACACCCCGACGTATTATACGCATGCGCAGGACTTGGGACTAGGGAAATCAAGGTCTTGTTTGTATCGATATTAAGGACTGTAACTTTAACTCGACAAAATGCATCGATGGCCCAAAGTAATAAATTACGCCATAAAATACATCCTTTTACAAAGACACAATGGGACTGGCTTGGACATATATATGAAGGCGTAAGTGATAATCAATATCCAAAAAAACAATCCCATTTCTTAGATGCCAAAAATGTCAACTGGTTATAAAATAACTATTCCAACTATAACAGATTTTAAATACGGTCAATGGTAACCTATGGAAGTAAGAGGTAGTCCATCACTAATCCGCTCTGCGATATACAACAAAATTCCAAGTTTTATTGCATGTTATAACTAGTAATAAGGATTCCCGCAGTACAAGTAACAGACATAGGTCTAATGAAGTGAGCTAATTAGCTGAAGCAGCAAGAGGTCCGTGACAACCTTCATAAACTACAACTTTGCTGAGGTCGCTTTGACTTAATTATTTCTCACCAGACTCTGACCCATACACATTTCACATACACACTATCACGCTATATGATAGCGATCATATCTTATAGAACCGACAACTGATGGGAAATAAAATAATTTAGTTCGTCTCGTACCAGCAAACGTAGTCTTGTTGGTAACAACTTCTTATTTCAGGGGTCTCAAAATAGATTTTCTAAAGGGTCATTAACATAATTGAGGGTAAGTTACTTGGTCAAAGTCAAAATAAATTTACGATTAGTAATTAAGATCTGGTTGCAGGCTGAATTTCAGCTCGCAGGCGTATGCTTGACAAGGACTGCCTTGGGTGGTGTAAGGGTCATCACCATCATCATCATTACAGCCTTTCATAAGTCCACTGCTGAACATAGGCCTCCCCTAGGAATGCCACAAAGTACGGTCCTGAGCCACCTGCATCCATCGACTTCCTGCATGTCTTACCAGGTCGTCACTCCATCTCGTGGGGGATCGCCCTGCACTTCACCTACCGGAACGAGGCCGCCACTCAAGAACCTTTCTTCCCCATCGGTTGTCGGTTCTTCGAGCTATATGGCCGGCCCACTGCCACTTTAGCTTACTAATCCGTTGGGCTATGTCGGTTACTCTGGTTCTACTGCGGATATCCTCATTTCTAAGTTTATCACGCAGAGAAGCCCCGAGCATAGCCCTCTCCATAGTTCGCTGAGCGACCTTGAGCTTGCTCATACGGCTAGCAGTGAAGGACCACGTCTCAGATCCGTAAGTCATCACTGGCAACACGCACTGGTTGTACAATTTCATTTAAGGTTTTGAGGAATGTATAACGAGTATAACGAAAAGACGTGTCGTAGTTTCCCAAACGCTGCCCAGCCTAGTTGAGTCCGTCGATTGACCTCTCGGTCGAAGTTTGACTTACCTAGTCGAACTATTTGTTCCAAGTAAACATACTCGTCAA